CTCTTTTTTTGCTTATATAACAACATCCTCCTTGCTCATGCAGCTTCTTTGATTTGTTATTGAAACATACACAACGATGTCATGAGAATTTGGTCGGCTATCTAAATTTAAATAACATTCTTGTTATGGTCCCCCCGCAGTGCACCACTAGCAAAGAATGACTGTGTTGCAAAGGTAAAATATGCATCCAAGCTGGCACGGCAAAAGTGGCGTCAGCTGGCAACTTTCGTCGATGGACCATCATAGCACAGGGTTCAGTCAGGGGCGGATTGAGGGAAGACCCAGCCCAGAAGACGGTCAGATTTTCAAGTTTACATTGACAAGTATCTTATTTTTCCTGCCGAAAGACGGTCAAAAATATAAGGCTCGATCAAGAAGATTATTTGGAAGACTGTCTCTGCATCCGCCCCTGAACTTCATGCGCCCGTTGATCTTCAAATAATATAGATCGTCGTTTTGTCCGTGGTTATTACTATGAAGATTCATATCAAATCATGAACCGTTTTGATCTTTAAGAATTGTATAAGTTATTATAATGATGCATCTATAAAGATATAATATAAAGATATAACATCTTATCTAAATTTTCGGCCCCTACCTCCCTAGGCCTTCTTCCGGGATATGGGTAAAAACCCAGGCTCAGTATCCTAGGTTCTAGATCTCCGTATTGCAAGCTCGATCTTGATTACATATATAACCGATATCAGCAATACGAAACTCTAGCCACTAGCGGCAGATTGAGGGCGTGTTTGTCAAAATTTTGCCTGGGGCACTTCCATATTTGGAAGTCACAAGTCTCGTACGTCACAGATGTATCCGCCTGGGACGCTTCCTTATTTGGAAGTCACAAGCCTCGTTCGTCACGTTGGCAAAAATGCGAACCCCCCTCTATGCGGAATAAACGGGGAATTTTCAAAAACAGCGAATCCAAAGGAACGAAAGTTATTTGAAATCCCCAATAAATTCTGTTTAATTTCAATTATTCAACATTTTAGGCTTTCGGTAATCACGAGTTTGTCAGCGGCATAGACAGCTTATTGCATTTTCTTCGAAACGTCACTTTCCCCGTTTTGAGTGCTAACATCGACGCCCAAAACGTCCCAGAAATGCAAGGGATGTATCAAAAGTCCACGGTGCTGAATGTGAATGGGGAACAGATAGGAATAGTGGGTTACGTGTTCAGATACACGCCTCTAGTTTCAAACCCAGGTTAGATTAATTTTTGATCTTCTAGAAACAATGTCCATATCATATTATACATATTTGTAAAAGGCCATATTCTGAAACCACTTTTTTCAAACTGTATTAAGTCAATTAATTTTAATATTGTGATTGTCAGATTGTTATTACTATTATTATTGTGATGGTGCATACATGTACATGCTACAATTTTGATAAATACATGTTTAGGGTCACACACAAGTTTAGTTATCAGTTTTTTTTTTCAGGCGATTTAATTTTCACCGAAGAAGTGGCTGCAGTACAGGAAGAGGTTAATAAACTGAAATTACAGGGCATTAATAAAATTATTGCACTGGGTCACTCCGGCTTTCCTGTCGATAGAAGGATTGCTGAAGAAGTTGATGGGGTGGACATTGTTATTGGTGGCCGGACGAACACGTTTCTTTATACCGGTAAAATGCCTTTTCATTTAATTGACAGTGAATTTTTTAATGAAAGAGAAGATGGCACATTATAGCTATACAACCTCTATTAGGTGGTAATTGGTATAATGTTGAACGCGTGTCAAAGGTTGAATTATAGAATTATCTCCATAACTTTGATATCTTGAGAACTTTGTTATTGGTGGCCAGACTAACACGTTTCTTTATACTGGTAAAATGTATAGATCTATACAGGTAGATCTTTTAATTGTCTTGCAAGTGAAGACTTAGATATAAGTGCAGATGACATATTATTGTCAGACAACCTGTAACAGGGTGTTATAAATATAATGATGAGCTCAATGCAAATGTAGAGTTTTCTTTGATATGTTAAGAATAATTGCTCATTAAATGAATGCTAAATGTTAAAGGTACTTTTTTTAAGAATTTTATTCTCTCTCTCTGTCGCCATTGCAATATTTTCAGTAAAACAATATAAAGATCCAATTATATTTCCAGGCACTCCTCCATCCACGGAGCAACCCGATGGTTTGTATCCTACCGTGTTGAGAAGAAGAGGAAGCAACGTGCTGATAGTCACAGATTTCATGTTTGCCAAATATCTAGGTTACCTACAAGTAACTTTTGACGAAGCAGGGGAACTAACGTCATGGGGTGGCAATCCAATCTTATTGGATGAAAATGTTACACAAGGTAAAGTTATCATTGTTTAACTTAGTAGTGTTTAAAATGAGAACAATCGAAGTTTTCTCAAAATAATAGAATAAATGTAGTTGTATGTTTTTCACAATAGTTTACCGGGTAGTTAATCCTTTTATCTTTTTCATTTTGAATATGAGAACGCCTTAAATCAACACATAACATCGAACTTCTTGTCTGGAATGAGTATTCTGTCATCATTAATTCATAAATTGATGTCAAATAAAATGATTTAAAATAAGAACAATCGAAGATTTCTCATAATAACAGTTTTCGTGTTTATTTTCACAATAGTTTAATAATCTCTCAATTAGTTTAATTTTGAATGAATTTTAGTGAATATAAGAATGCCTTTCATTCACATTTACCGTCAAACTTCGTGACTTCAATGACCATTTTGCCATAATTAGTTCATAAACTGATATCTTTTTTTAAATCACCCGATTTCTTCAAATTGTGCATTTTGTTGGCACTGTTTCTGTAAATTCCTGTTCCAGACAGTGGAATATTAACTGAGATGCAACCATGGAAACAACGTGTGGTCGATTTAGGTCAAACAAAGATCGGAACCACTTTGGTCGAGTTAAACGATGTTATATCTTGTCGTAGAAATGAGTGTAGTTTAGGTAGGTAGCGTTTTGTTCTCTCTTCTTTTTTCATGACCTCTCCTAAGAAGCTTTCAGTTCTGAGGGATCTATAAATGAGTAATGCGTCACTGAGACGTGTGGAGTTCGACATTCATGTTGTCTGTGTCTCCGATGGTCTTGCAAAGAGTTTCTAATAATTCAAAGGCATTAATACCTGATTCCGTTATATGGAGCGATAGGGCAGGGATAATATTCTTTCATGTATGGTGTATGGTGAGGTGCCAGATGATTTGTAAATCTTGCCAAATTGTCGTAAACGTGCTTTTTACACCCGAACAGAAACACCTGGACCAAATTTATCCCAAATCTTTTGTACCTTATGATAAAAATACTCGTCATTTTAAAGGGAACCTCATAGCAGATGCATTGGTGTACAAGTATCTGAAACCCAATGACGGAACAAGGTGGACCAATGCCTCTATTGGAATGTGGAATAGCGGCGGGATACGTGAGCCAATTGAAATAGGTAGACGCCAACATGCACCTATATCTTATAGATACTGGTAGACGTCTTAGTCCTTTTTGCCATTACACTTTTACTTTTTCTTTGTCGTTTGTAAATCCTGAAAACCTGTGGGTTGGGTTAAAGAGCACCTTTATGCGTTTTTTTCCTAAAGCAATACTGAAACGTCAATTTTTCTATTAGAGTACGGTTTAGGAACTGTTCGTGATACTGGGGTACCTGGCTGAAATATCCGCTGCAACCATGTTTCTTTAGGATGAACATTTCTATTCTTATTTCAGGTGACATATTAGTGTCAAACGTCCTGAGAACTATCCCGTTCGAAAATACGGTTGACATTGTCAAAATTAACGGTAGTACCTTGTGGGCAGTCATGGAACATTCCGTTTCCTTACAAGAGAGTAATACGGGTCGCTTCCTGCAAGTCTCGGGTAATTGTTCCATCTCAGTTAAATATAATCGTTTTCATTAAGTTTCTATTTAGAAAGCTAAACATTACCCTTACTTAAATTAATAACCATATTTAAATGCATAATTAAACAATATAAGGAATTTATGATATAGTAACAATAAGTTGCCGAGAATTTTGAAAATGTCTATAATTCAAAACATAGCAGTCCTTTGTATTATTGTGTTCTTTGTTTGTTTTATTTTTATATTCTGTTTTCCTATACCCAGGTCTTCGGGTTGTGTATGACCTGTCTAAGCCAGTAGGCAGGCGAGTGGTCAGCATTGACGTCAGGTGCGCTGACTGTACAGTCCCCGAGTTCCAGCCCCTCGTTAAGACAAAATCATACGATGTGGTCACCAACACCTATTTACTAGAGGGAGGGGATGGTTTTTCTATTTTCAAGGACAACATTTTGTACCGATATGGGATAGGTATTGTTGTTTTTTGGTTTTGAGTGATTTTAAGTGAAGTGTGCTTTCCATGCTTGGTTACACAAGAAAACATAAATTGCTATGATTATGAATAATGTATTGTATACGTTTCAGAAGTCATTTATTAAAGGATTTATTAACCCTTTATTATCATCTAAATGCCAAATATGAGTTTTATCCTGCATCTAATTATTCAATAATGCATCTATCTTTATGCTTATTTAAAACAATGAAAACCCCCTCGAAAATATAAGCTTTTTCGTTGCAATGTATAAGCATGGGGGGCAACTCAAATCTTTAATCGTCAATTTAACACCTTTATTTTTGGGGTGAGATAGCAAATTGTATGGGATGTAACTTCATCCCTGAACACGATTTTATCACGAAAATTGGCAGAGTTGACCAGGAGTGTATAGGCTACAATCTCATGCTGATATTTTGGTTTTCATGTTTTCGCTATGGAATTAAGAGTTCCAAATTACAGATTTTCATTAAACAAGGGTACTATTTTGCTTTATTAACGATAAAACCTGAACTAGAACTTTAAGAAAAATCGATGGCAGGGTTTTGGAGTACTTAATGGTGTTATTAAATAGACGTTGAAACGGTGATCGTGGTTGCTCATGTAAAAGAGAAATTTGAGAAACCGATTTTTCAGTTTTTACCCCAAAATCGTAATTATGGCGTCACCCGTAAGATGACATATGTATAAATGTTAATCAATTTCGTCACTGAACACTGAAGATTTATTTATTATCCAAAAGAATCTTTGTAAGGCAGTAAATATAAAGAATTTTGGGCGAAGGGTGACAATATCCTTAAGTGTCATTTCAGACTCACGTAAGGTTCTTGTCTTAAATAACAAATTCCTGACTTTTTCAGAGGACTTGGATGCAGATGTTATGATGTCCTACATCACACAGTACTCGCCGATAATTCACGGGTTAGAAGGTAGAATTCGCTATGTCAGCGACATCAGGTGCAATTTTAAGAAAACACCGCCGAGGAGACCTGTAAATGTACCAGCACCGCCAGCACCGTAAGCACCGCCATTTGGCATTATAGGAAATTTCCTTCAGAATTTCCTTGGCTAGATGGCGTCTTACCTTTTGGCGTTGTTATGAAATCTTGAGAGTTTAGTACTAAGAATTATTGAGCTTGGCTAGGCTGTTAAACAGGCCACAGGTACCTTGATTACTGTCGCATTGTGTAATTCTTTAAAGTCCAATCTTAATCTTACAGATTTCTCACTTGGAGTCGTTTAGATGATTTGAGGTCTATTGCTGTAATATACATTCCACTGAAGCGAGTACCGACTTTCTGGAGTTCTAAAGATCTGTGTGTCTTAAAAGATGTATATTTAGTCAATTCTTACCCCAATACTATTTAAAGCAAGATAGAATTTATCAATATTTTTTTTTAATCAATTACAGCTTTAGATACGTGGGTAGCCCCCTATATTGTCTGAGTTTCCTTTATGTGATATTTAATGTTTTCAAACATTTGTCTTTTATTTTAATTAAGATAAACATTTAATCATTGTAAACAAGTGTACGTAAGCACGCGAATTGGATCATTGTACACTGTATAATGGACCAATCTACTTGTACGTGTTTGGTCTTACGTGCTTTAAAATAGCGTGACAAAGACCCACATGGTGTAAAAGTGCATCGAGCGAGCTTCCTTTGTCACATACTCGAAGCATCGAAGGGTTTGACTTGAAAGCTTATAACTTCATAGACTTTTTAATCAAGTGTTCTGTCCAATAATTAATCTTTTTTCACTTTTATAACATTTAATCAGATTTTTCTGTAAAGAGTACTAACATATACAGTATAACATATCCAATATCAAGTCACTATTTTTCTTTTGTGGGCAGTGGCCCGGCAGCATTTTAATTTACTGATAGATTTTAATGCATTCCTATCTGATGCCATACATGTTCTTCAGTTTACTCGATTCTTTTGATTGATGAACACTAATAATAATATACAATGTAGTGTCCTTCCACATTCACCGTGTTATCGTTATAATTTTTATCCATGGCTTATTACTTTGTGGGTCCAATATGATCAGTTATATATTGTTATATCCCATTCTGTTTGATTAATTATGGCTGTATCATTTTCATAAAATTGGACATGGTCTAGATCAATATTTTACACGAATCAGGATTGATAACTTCAACGAAATCATGGCACGGTCTTTCAACATAATATTCAATGACTTTGCCATCTTTACATACCCTCGTCCCTTGGCACCTCTCTTTTCTGAACTAAATAGTGGAACTCCATTCCTTTATATCTAAATCTCTAGTTAAATCTCGAGCTGTTATTTTCTTGTAAAGTACTTCGATATAAGAAACAAAAAGAACAGCCACAGAAACGGTCTTGACGTTCATTTCTGATTATTTTTCTGTATCTGTGAGATCCCCAAGCATAAAGAAACGGGTTCAAACAAAATGAAAATCGAAGAAAATTGATGCAAGATCCAAGTAGGCCAAGTAACTCATGTCTGGTCTAATTATTCCTAGTGTTAACGATGGAAAGCGACATATTATGTACATAATTAAGAGTATGAACGCTGTTTTTACAGTAAAAAGTTCTGCTTTCATCGATTGTTAACCTGAGAGTGGCGAGTCTGTGCAACATTGCTTTTACAGGAAATCTGTTCTTTGTTAGTATACAGTATATACTGGTACATGCGGCAGGCCCGTAGCCAGCAATTTCAAAAGGGGGGTTCTTTTTCTGAAAAAGTGGACCTTTTCTCATAAAAACTTCATGTACCTAGATCAAATTTTACCCAGAGTGGACCTTTTTCCAGCTAAAGGGGCGGTTCTTTCGAACCCCCCGAACCCCCCCTGGCTACAGGCCTGAATTGCGTAACAGATGAGAGAACTGGAGACGGAAATTTGTAAGCATAACTTTGATCGTATAAAAGTCCTGTCACATCAAGAGTAAAAGAGATTCGTGTGAGTATCGTATTTGAAATTCATAATACGTACAACTTTGCGCGTAAGAAAAACATCCCTTTCCATCGTATGAGAAACAATATTACAGGGCCCTGTCACACTAAGCGTGTTTCACCAATGTATGAGGAAATTTACTCATACGCAGACAAACACAAGGGCCTCGTTAGACTTACGTCGCATACATTTCAACTGTGCAGGTAAACGTTGGTGTACGTTCACATACGCCGAAGAAGATAAGATTTTTGGAGAATGTTCAAAATCTTTCAGCGTGTACGAGTGTTTGAATCGTACGTTATCCATACGTTACGTAAACGATATAGATACGCCAGGCATTCTGCAGAATGCCGTTAAAATTACGATAAGGGAAGTTTCTCTCTCTATAGCTTGGCTTTGCATAACAATAAATAACGTAGTGCTCGTGAACGAGAATTAGAATTTCTACAGTATAATGAATAATAATGGAAATGCGATATAACTTGAAAGCTAATATTAACTTTGACATGGTTGTCTGACTGCGGTGCAGCGGTGGACACTGGGTATTACGACATGCTGTAAATGGTCTGCCTGTGAACAAACAAAACAATAAAATAACTGCTTATTATTCCTTGGCTCTGTCATTATTTTTGATCCGTTGCGGAGGTATAATGATCGCTATCTCGGTTGCTTTCGGTGCAACTTTGTCCCTCTGACACCAACGTACATTTGTATTCGCACAAAGACCGGATGCAGTTTTGTCTTTAGCGTTTTCTCCTTATTGCTTACTGCAATCACTACCCTCAATCAATAAATCTAAGAAACTAATTATGTGACTGAGAGAAGGGGATATGTCTGGATTGTGGACGAGTTAAGAGATGTTTGTCTTACAGTTGACTTATATGAAGAAACGTACTTTAAATTTCCGTTTTTCGAGAAAAGGTCTCATGACAGAGAAAGGACGCCACATTAATTTAAACAAAGACCATAGATTTTGCCCAAATTGTTGAAGATTGTTGTAGAAGATGTAAATATGTTGTATAGCGATTTGAGGGGAGATGCTTCTTAACAAGAAGAACAAAGCAGAGTAAAAATAAACGCTTTTCTGCTTTGATCATGTTTGACATTAGTACGGATGGCATCTTCTCACTGACAACATTTTGACCAGCGCATTTGCAGAGACAGAAGAGATTTGTTTCCTATGAGCTGAGATTTGATTCAGAGTGTTGACTTAGAAAATAACCATTAAAATGCTCATAATATAATCACTTATAATCATTGATAAGAGAACTAGCTATTACGGATGTATATTATTATCACCTCCGCCAAGGAGGTTATGTTTTCACCCCTGTTTGTTTGTTTGTTTGTTTGTTTGTCTGTCTGTTTGTCATCAACATAACTCAAAAAGTTATGGATGAATTTCGATGGAGTAAAAAACTAAGTAAAGGACCGATTTTGATGAAATTTTCAGGAACTGTCAAAAGTGGGCCAAGGAACAGATTATTAGTTTTAGGTGGTGATCCGGATCAATAATCAATCAATAATCAAAAATCAAAACACTAAATCATTACAGAATGAAAATTTAGGGATGAAACGGCATTGGGTGGAGACTTTGCTGCCTTGGCGGAGGTCTGCGCTCTCGGAGTGTTTTTCTTGTTGATATATGTGACGTCCATGCACTTTTTCTGTGTACATATATGTACTGAGTACATTACATTTAAAAATAGTGGAATCGTATATTGGGTCGGATGCCTTGTACAATGTATAACAGAATAAAAATCTTTGTATTCTGATCATAAATATAACTTAAAAGCAAATACTAACTTGGGCACGGTTGTCTGACTGCGGTCGAGCAGTGGGCACCGCGATACATACTGTGGGTATTACGGCATGCTGTAAATGGCGTGTCTGTGAACAAACGTCAGAACAGGAGCTACTCTGTTCATCGGGTGCGGAAAGCTTTGGAAGTTTACAAAAAAATTACTGTTTTTTTATTATTTGGAAATATACGCCTCGGTATCGTGCTGGCGCAAGACATACTTGTCAAACCTGTTTCTTTTAATCTCAAAATGAATTACTTTTAATCTTTAGAAAGATACACATCGGTCATTAATTTTTGGCCCGTTGCGGCGGTTTAAATGATCGCCATCTCATTTCTTGACCACACACAGCATATCCGTCAACACTCCCGATCTTGATATTAGATTAGAAGTTAGATTGAATTATCATTTTTATTATTCATCATTATTATTTTTTTTTTTCAAACGTAAGGCAAAACAAAAAGGATTAGTATATCGGGATACTCCCGACGAGAAGGGAGTGTTGACAGTCTTTTCAAGAAGTATCTTCTTCAATCTGTAAAAAAAATAGAATTTAAATCTAAGTGCAGAGAACCAAGATAGACACAAAAATGTGAAAAGAATAGTAAAATTGGGAAAAAAATAATGAATAATAAAGATGATAATTCAATCTAACTTAAAATCTAATTTCGAGATCTGGAGTGTTGACAGGTATGCTTTGTATGTTGTTGTTGGGGAAAAAGCTGAACCTATATGATCCGAGATAGCAATCATTTGAACCGTAGCAGAAGGTTAAAAAATAATGACCGATGCGTAACATTCTACAGATTAAAAACAATTCATTTTGAGAATAAAATAAACAGGTTTGACGGGTGTGTCCTTCCCCAGCACTATATATGCTGCCCTCAGCTGGAATATTATCATCACAGGTTTTGCTTCAACCTTGTGCCCTTTTCTCGCTCACTACTTGGTGACAGTGCATGTACTAGTTGAAGGTTTGGAACCACCAAAGCCAAAGTTTTACATAAAGCATTAGATATGAAAAAGCTGATCGTTTTAAGCATTCTTTTCACGCTGAGTTCCGGGTTTGATTTGACGATTTTACACACCAACGATGTCCACGCACGTTTCGAGCAGTTTGATGGAAGAGGCAAGCGATGCTCGGACAACGAAGCTCAAGCGGGAGTATGCTTTGGAGGAATCGCACGTCAATGGACCAAAATTCAAGAAATTCGCAACTCTGAGCAGAACGTGATTTTGTTGGACGCCGGAGACCAGTTCCAAGGCACTTTATGGTATACGTTGTACAAGGGCAATGTTTCAGCATACTTCATGAATTTGTTTCAATTTGACGCAATGGTAAGTAATTTTTCAATCTTCTTAATCAGGGGCGTATTGATAAATTGTAAAATCTTGATTTCTTTTTATCATTTAAGCGATTTGTGTTTGGTGCTTGAAATTCAAAGTTGCATAATGATTCATATTGATTTCTGAGACATTTTGCCAAGCCCTCTGGTGCATTTTACTTGTCAAGTACGCTTGACAAGTAAAGGTAATGCACCATGATATACCGAATAAGATTGTCAAATCAGTAATGCGTTTTCCAGAAAAAAGGCATTCATGCATTCATATGTCGGCAGATCACATGTATACAATGTAAAGTGCTCTTCTAAACTTTACACTTGCATCCAAGCTGGCACGGCAAAATTGGCATCAGGTGGCAAGCCCCCTTCCCCCCTCACACACACACAAAAGTATAATAAGCAAACCAAGACAAAGTCAAGCGAGATTTTTTTCATCTTCATGAGTCTCTGTATCCTACAAATTACTATTTTACTATACAATTCTCGTCGATGGACCATAGCACAGGGTTCAGTCAGGGGCGGATTAAGGCCGTTTTCTGGGTCTTCCCGAAGACGGTCAGATTTTCAAATGTGCATTGACAAGTATCTAATTTTTTCTGTCGAAAGACGGTCAAAAATAGAGGATGGATCAACTAGATAATTTGGAAGAATGTCAGAAAATATCTATGGATCCGCCCCTGAACTTCACGCGCCCGTTGATCGTCAAATACATGTAATTGCACCCGCACTCTCAAAATTCAAGTCGCGAACGCGGCGAGGCATAAACATAAAGATCTTTTTTCGGCACTCCACCCCCATCCGTAGGCGAAAGCTCTTATTATCTGATTTTTACCGTTACGAACGTATTTCACCACTTCCATCTCCATTACGCACCCTGAGCTTCAGAGATAACTTGGCACTAACCTCTTCACAATAGCCTATCTTCATCGTGTCAAGTTGACACGATGAAGATAGGCTATTGTGAAGAGGTTAGTGTCAAGTTATCTCTGAAGCTCAGGGTGCCATTACGAGAATGGCTCAAAGATTAGAAACTTCGAACTCAAAAACGGGTATACGTTATAGATCGTCGTTTTGTCCATGGTTATTATTTTGAAGATTCATATCAAATCATGGACCATTTTGATCTTTGAGAAATAAATAAGTAATTATAATGATCTATACGGTTCTTACTTTGAAGATTCATATCAAATCATGAACCGTATAGATCTTTAAGAAATAAATAAGTAATTATAACGATGCATCTATGAAGATATACTATAAAGATATAACATCTAATCTAAGCTTTCGGCCCCTAGCCCCTAGGTCTTCTTCAGGGATTTGGGTCAAAACCCAGGGTCAAAAGATATGGGCCTAAATCTTGTATTAGATATTATATCTTTTATAGTTGTTCTTCATAGATGCATCATAATAATAACTTATTTATGTCAACGGTTCTGGAAATGGTAACCTTCATGTTGAAATTTCCAGTTTAATTGAATTTTAGCCATATAAAGGTTCAACGCTTATTGTGTGATTTCCAATAAATGAATAAATAAATAAATAAATAAATAAATATGCTCATAATAACCCTCCTAAGAACACTTTAAACCCCTTTATCACGGCTACTTTTCTGGGTCTGTCACTAGGCTGACATGAACCAATTATCCAACACGTATCACTCGAACGTATTTTAGTCTCCATCCTCCTCAATCCTTTTTTGTAACTTAGGATGTTATACTCCATTTCTCATATCACGTACTATTCTGTATCTCATACCACTACTCTGTACGTAATAGCACTGTTGCTATCCATTATTTATGAATCTTTGGGAAATGTTTGGTGACAGTGACCGTAAAATGCAATAGAACCTTTTACTATTACTTTCGACTAATTGGAGAACGTGAATCTTTGTCAATAATGCAAAACAAGCACTATGCGGAATAAATGGAATTTTTTCAAAAACAGCAAATCCAAAGGAAAGAAAGTTATATGAAATCCCAATATATTTTGTTTAATTTCAATAATTCAGCAATCTTTGATTTTAGGCTTTCGGTAACCACGAGTTTGACAGCGGCATAGACAGCTTATTGTATTTTCTTCGAAGCGTCACTTTTCCCGTTTTGAGTGCTAACATCGATGCCCAAAACGTCCCAGAAATGCAAGGGACGTATCAAAAGTCCACGGTGCTGAACGTGAATGGGGAACAGATAGGAATTGTGGGTTACGCGTTCAGATACACGCCTCTCGTTTCAAACCCAGGTTAAATTAATTTTTGATCTTCTAGAAACAATGCACATATCGTATTATATATATAATTATTATATAATTAATTTAATTATATATAATTATATTCTGACACCACTCTTCAGACTGTATTAAGTTGATTAATTTTGATATTGTGATGGTCAGATTGTTATTCTTATTGTGATGGTTTATACATCCTGCAATTTTGATAAATACATGTTTTAGGTCACACACAAGTATAGTTTTAAGTTGTTTTTTTTTCAGGAGCTTTAATTTTCACCGAAGAAGTGGCTGCAGTACAGGAAGAGGTTAATAAACTGAAATTACAGGGCATTAATAAAATTATTGCACTGGGTCACTCCGGCTTTCCTGTCGATAGAAAGATTGCTGAAGAAGTTGATGGGGTGGACATTGTTATTGGTGGCCGGACGAACACATTTCTTTATACTGGTAAATGCTTTTGATAACAGCTTTTATTTTATTGACAGTGAATTTTTAATAAAAGAGAAGATGGCATATCATAGCTATACAACCTGTATAAGGGTATAATTGATATAACGTTGAACGCATGTCAAAGGTAGAAATATTATAGAATTATCTCTTTGATGTCTTCAGAACTTTGTTATTGGTGGCCAGACTAACACGTTTCTTTATACTGGTAAAATGCATACATCTATACATCTATACCAGTAGATCTTTTTTGTCTTGAGTTTTCTTTGATATGTTGATATGTCTTAAAAGAATAATTGCTCATTAAAAAAATACTAAATGTTAAAGGTACTTTTTTTAGAATTGCATTTTCTCTCACCTCTCTCTCTCTCTCTCTCTCTCACCATTGCAATGTTTGCAATATGACAATTTAAAGGTCCAATTATATTACAAGGCACTCCTCCGTCCACGGAGCAACCCGATGGTGTGTATCCTACTGTGTTGAGAAGAGGAGGAAGCAACGTGTTAATAGTCACAGATTTCAAGTTTGCCAAATATCTAGGTTACCTACAAGTAACTTTTGATGACGCAGGGGAACTGACGTCATGGAATGGCAATCCAATCTTATTGGATGAAAGTGTTCTACAAGGTAAAGTTATCATTGTTTTACTTTGTATTGTTTAAAATTAAAACAATCGAAGTTTTTTTCATAATAATAGATTGAATGTAGTTGTATATTTATCACAATAGTTTACCCTGTAGTGAATCATTTTATCTTTTTCATTCTGAATAAAAGAATGCCTTAAATCAACACTTACCGTCAAGCTTCATAAATCAATGTCAAATTAAATCATTTGAAATGAGTAAAGTTTATAATAATAGCTTTCGTTGTTTATTTTCACAATAGTTTAATAATCTTTCAATCATTTTAGTTTTGGACAAATTATACTGAATACAAAAATGCCCTTTATCCACACTTACTATCGAACTTCATGTCTCCAATGACCATTTTGTCATAATAAGTCCATAAACTGATGTCAAATTACGTCTTTTAAAAACTTTCGCCCATTTGCTTCAACCTTTGCAATTTGTTGACACTGTTTCTACAAATTCCTGTTTCAGACAGTGGAATATTAACTGAGATGCAACCATGGAAACAACCTGTGATCGAATTAGGTCAAACAAAGATCGGAACCACTTTGGTCGAGTTAAACGATGTTATATCTTGTCGTAGAAATGAGTGCAGTTTAGGTAGGTGGCGTTCTGTTCTCTCTTTCTTTTTCATGACCTCTCCTAAGAAGCTTTCAGTTTTGAGGGATCTATAAATGAGTAATGCGTCACTGAGTCGTGTGGAGTTCGACATTCGTGTTGTCTATGTCTCCGATGGTCATGCAGGAGAGTTTTTAATAATTCAAAGGCAATATTACCTGATTCTGTTTTACAGAGCGATAGATAATATATAAGGTCGATAGCTGTGACGGGGAGGAAATTCCATCATGTATGGTGGATGGCGAGGTGACAGATACTTTGCAAATCTTGCCAAATTGTCTTAAGCGAGTTTTTACACCCGAACAGAAACACCTGGACTGAAATTTAGGTACAAAAGACCGAAAAAGTCTTTTGTACCTGAACTCTTATGTTTTTGCTTTTAAAATAAAATTTTAGTTATTTGCCACAGTGTAATTATGATGATAAAATTTTTCATCATTTTAAAGGGAACCTCATAGCAGATGCAATGGTGTACAAGTATCTGAAATCCAATGACGGAACAAGGTGGACCAATGCCTCTATTGGAATGTGGAATAGCGGCGCGATGCGTGAGCCAATTGACATAGGTAGATTCCTACATGTACATGTACCTATATGTTATAGATAGACGTCTTAGTCCTCTTTGCCATTACGCTTTCCTTTTCCTTTTCCTGTGCATTTGGGTTTCTCTAAAACAATGCTGAATCGTGAAAGGTGATTTTTCTATTAGAGTACGGTTTATGAACTGTTCGTGATACTGGGGTACCATCTGAAACATCCGCTGCAACCATGTTTTCTTAGGATGAATATTCCTATTTTGATATTTCAGGTGACATATTAGTGTCAAACGTCCTGAGAACTATCCCATTCGAAAATGCAGTTGACATTGTCAGAATTAACGGCAGCACTTTGTGGGCAGTCATGGAACATTCCGTTTCCTTACAAGAGAGTAATACGGGTCGTTTCCTGCAAGTCTCGGGTAATTGTTTCATCTCAGTTAAATATATTTGTTTTTATTTAGTTTCCATTTAGAAAACTAAACATTTCCCTCATCTAAATAAAAACCCAAATTTTATAATTCAAAGCATTGTATAATTGTATAATTTGTCTGTTTTTTTTATTCCGTTTACCTATACCCAGGTCTTCGAGTTGTGTATGACCTGTCTAAGCCAGTGGGCAGTCGAGTGGCCAGCATTGACGTCAGGTGCGCTGACTGTACAGTCCCCGAGTTCCAGCCCCTCGTTCAGACAAAATCATACGATGTGGTCACTAGCACCTATATACTTGAGGGAGGGGATGGTTATTCTATTTTCGAAGGCAACATATTGTACCGATATGGGATAGGTATTATTGTTTTTCTGTTTCAAATGATTTTAAGTGAAGTATGCTTCCCATGTTTGGCCAAACAAGAATGTGCTTATATCTTATAATGATACCACTGATATCCGTTGTGTCCAAAGAATATATGAACATATTTATGAATAGTGAACTGCATACGTTTTAGGTGGCATTAATTTAAGCGTCATTTCAGACTTACTTTAAATGCTTGTCTTAAATAACGAATTCCTGACTTTTTCAGAGGACTTGGATGCAGATGTTGTGATGTCCTACATCACACAGTACTCGCCGATAATTCACGGCTTGGAAGGCAGAATTCGGTATGTCAGCGATATCAACTGCAATTTTCAGGAAACACCGCCGAGTGAACCTATAGGGGGACCTATAAGCCTACAACCACCGCCTTTGGGCTTTTTAGGAAACTTCCTAATAAATTTTCTTGGCTAAATGGGGTGTTTTACCTTTGGCAGTGTTATGAAATTTTGAGAGATTACTGTTAAGAATTATTGGGCTTGACTTAGCTGTTAAACTGCTCAAAGGTACCTTGATTAGCACCACACCCGTTAATTCTTTTAGCCCAATCATTATTTTATGTGTAATGTTAGTAAGTGACAGCATGCAGTGAATAAGAGCGGGGAGTGTTTCGTAGAGTAACTTAAGTTGATTGACATGCTCTTATGGTATTTATACAACTACGCTTAGTGTAAACGGGGAGAAGGCCGCTAGAGATTGCATGAGGTAGGAATAGAAATGAAGGAAGCGGCGCGGGTAATAACTGGACAGTAGTTCAATAAATAATAAGAAAGATAATATCTGAGTTGTATTTGCTACCTCGCGTAACATGACGAAGACAAGCCAATAGCTTCGTCACATATGCATTACTCATTGGAAGTCGTTAAGACATCTTGGAGGATGCAATTATAGTATATTTGACCTATCTACTTTTACTAGTACCTACATATATCTCTTACTTGTAGAATAACATGACAAAGACCCACATGGTATGCAATTGCATCGAGCGGGCTTCCTTTGTCACATACTCGAAGCATCGAAGAGTTTCTCTTGAAACATAATAACTTCTTAGACTTGTTAATAAACTTTTCTGTCCAATAATTAATCCGCTGCTGGTGTTTCTACCTTTTTCACTCTGAAAACATTTGATCATACTTTTTTTAAAGTACTTAAGGATTCTGTAAGAGTTTATTATCATCAAGATACTGACAATGAGGTTTTTCCTGCATTTAATAATTCAATAATGCATCTACTTTTGTGTTGATTTCAAAACAATAAAAAACCTCGAAAATGTAAGATATTGGCGTTTATATTTTTCGCTGTATAAGCATAGGCAACACAAATCTTTTCTCATCAATTTAACTCCTTTCTATTTTGAGTTGAAAAAAATCAGTACAGGGCGCAACGTCATCCCTGAAGAGGATTTAATCCCGCAAATTGGCATAGTTGACCAAAAGTGTATGGGCTACAATCTAGTGCTGTCATTTTGGTTTAAATGTTTTTGGTATTGAGTTATGAGCCCCTAATCACATATCTCCACTAAACAAAGGCATTATTTTGCTTTATCCATGATAAAATCTGTAACAAGCCTCTTAGAAAAAAACGCTTGCAGGATTTTGGGGATCTAAAGGACGTCATTAATTGGCGTTAAAACGGTACTCGTGGGTGCTCAGATGAAGGAGAAATTTGAGAAACCATTTTTCTCCATTTAACCGCCCAAATCACAATTATGGCGTCACTCGTCAAATGACATACAAATGTATATTTAGTCACTGACGACTTAAAGATTTCTCAGTTATCCAAAAGAATGTATGTATGGCAGTAAATATGGAAGTTTTGGCAAAAGCTGACAGTTTCCTTAAAAGTTTAAGATGTGACCGTAATATAATATAATATAATATAATATAATATAATATAATATAATATAATATAATATAATATAATATAATAAAGGTCAATTTACTAAACTGCTGTGATATTTTGGGTACATAAATTTGCGTGTGTAAAGCAACACAACAGCTACATATACCAATACAAATAATTGCAATTCAGACTATGTCGATTTACTAACAAAGTGCAAATACTTATAATGGCAATTACAATTTTACGTTCTTCTCTCAATAGCAAGCTGAGAAAAACAACGCATGGTCAAGTCTATTTTTTNTAATATAATAAAGGTCAATTTACTAAACTGCTGTGATATTTTGGGTACATAAATTTGCGTGTGTAAAGCAACACAACAGCTACATATACCAATACAAATAATTGCAATTCAGACTATGTCGATTTACTAACAAAGTGCAAATACTTATAATGGCAATTACAATTTTACGTTCTTCTCTCAATAGCAAGCTGAGAAAAACAACGCATGGTCAAGTCTATTTTTTCTATTGAGCGTAGTAGCCCTGCAGCATGGTAAAAAAACTTCTCCTATCGTATTTTACTGATAAATTTTAACGTAGTTAAATTTCATGGAATACATGTCCTCCAGTCTATTTGATTCTTTTGATTGATAAGTACTTTACCCAGATAAAATACAGTTCCCTCCTACATTCACCGTATTATTGTTATATCTTAAACGCATGGCTTATTACTTTGAGTATCCAATATGATAAAGCTATCTATTGTAGTATCCCCTTCTCTTTGGGTAATTATGAGTGTATCATTTTCACAAATTGCACATGGCCTAGATCAATATTGTAGGAGAATCAAGCTTATTGAATTTAACTAAATCATAGCAAGGTCCTCATCTTGGTGTACAGTGACTTTAACATTTTTACATACCCTCTTCCCTTGGAACCTTTCTTTTCTAAACTTAATAGCGGAACTTAATTCCTTGGTATCTAAATCTTTAGTACTGTCAAATCTCGAGCCGTTATTTTCTTGTAAAGTACTTCGATGTGAAGAACAAAAAGAACAGCCACAGAAACGGTTTCGAAGTTCATTTCTCACTATTTTTCTGTATCTGGGAGATCCCCAAAGATAAAGAAACGGGTTCAAACAAGAATGAAATTCGAATAAAGTTGTTGCAAGATACCAATAGGCCAAGTAACTCATGTCTGGTCTAATTATTCCTAGTGTTAACGATGGAAGGTAACATATTATGTAAACAACAACCAGCATAAATGCCGTTTTCACGGTAAAAAGTTCTGCTTTCGATTTTTTTCCTGAGAGTCTCGAGTCTGTGGAACATTGCCTTAAAGGAAATCTGTTCTTTGCTAGTTTACAGTATATAAATGCGTAACAAATTAGAGAACTGGCAACAGAAATTCCGCTAACGACTGGCACTATTGCCCATGTATACCAGCTTGATGGTTTTGCAAACATGAAAGGAGGTTTTTCGAGCCTGCCAACATAATGAAAATGAATGCAACAAATGTATCCAACGGATTCATGCGAAACCACAACGGTGGCAATGGCGATTCCAAGGGCGACTTGAAAGCCAGATATGAAGGCAATTTCTTTCATGCTTACTTGATAACGGTTTAAGTGCCCCACAGAACTCCCGACGGCTCTCGCCTGCACGCTGGCAATTACTAGTTTTGAAGTGCAAGAACATACCACAAGGAGCGGCTTGAGAAACGAAGTTGCTTTACAGAGAGCAGGTGGTACTGGAACACCTCCTTGAACAGTCAGCATGAGTTGGGCAAAATGCACTGGTAAGACAGTAGCGATCATCACCGTGTCCACTCCTGCGATACACGCCGCGTACATATTCAATGGTGTATGGAGTTTCTTGATCGTGGCTATGCTGATGACAGCGAGTAAGTTTGCCAAACCAAAGACGATGTTCACTGCCGAAATCACGGCGCATATCGAAAGAATAGCGGCAGTAGCTGGTTCTGATGTTGTAAGCCACCATTCTGAATGGTCGCCATCCGTGGCGTTAGTTTTCGATGGTGGTGAGGGTCCGTAACAATTTTCGAAGTCCACGGTCGTCAGAGAGATGTTCTGCAAGTATGACATTGCAGCGATATGGCATTGATCTGGTTCCCTAGGTTAATGACGTTCCCGATTTATACATTACGTGAGCTCCTGTATCACAGAGAGCATAGAACAGACAAGGCCAGCAAAAATAATGAGCCAGACGACTTAACGATGAAGAATATATATTGCTTGGAGGAAATATCTTTGATTAAACCATGATCAAAGACCCGGTTTGGCGTCAGACCAGCTAAAGAACCAAAAGCGATGCTCGTGCTATTATTCCATTCATCTCATAGGAAGCCTTAGGCAATTTCAAACTCATCATAGTTGGCAGTTTACGGAAAAATTGTGTAATGGTTTCTGCGAAAGAAAAGGCCAAAGGTCACGCCGAGATTAAAATCTATAAACTTTCTCCTTTTATTTCTAAACCTGTATAGAACAATGTTTCTTTGTGTGCATTAACAATGCTTTATTTGTTTCTCATTGTCCATATGCCAATCCGTTCCTATTGCTTTAATATCTTTTTTTTTTTACTGTCTAATGGCTACAATTGAAAAGAACGCCTTTTTTCTGTGTTTCCCTGTATGCTAATATCGATAAGAAATACATCATTTTCTATAATTTACCAAAGACCCTCTGTTGAACCCAAAAGCTGTCAGCCATCGATTACACAGGTTTCGGAAGTCATGACATTGCTCTTTGAGCGTGGAAATGAGAAGTTTTGTGGCCTCAAGAAGACGATGTTTTGATTTGATACGGTATCACCCAGGTTTTTTCGGTGCATTTTGTTTTACTTAGGATGGTATGGTTTTATCGCTGTAGGAGTGGAAAAGCTCATCAGAAGCCATTTAAGCAGTGATAGATGTAAACTGAAATTAAGACATTAAATTGAAAAATAAACACACTCACATGCAAAAGAAAAATACAAATTGGTCAGTTTTATTTCCAAATATCTCTACTTTTTTCATACTTTTATTCCTCTGACAAAGAAAGACGAGTTTCGTGTATTTATAATATTTGAGAATGCGAATGAAAAAATAGTTTCGCAAAATAACATGAAATGTGAATAATACGAGATCTGGCACGCCAAGGCAACAGGGATAAAACCTCAAAGAAGCACTGGGATTATTGTGCGCCACATTCGTATTAGTTATTACGCCAATATGTACGTTATCGATCTTCGAAATTTTTTCATAACTAGCTCACGATGACATCGTCAGACTAGAGTTCAGGAACAGATAAAGTATCCCCGAGAACTTACATGGTGTGTCTTTAAATAAAGTATGACAATTAAAGGTGTATAACGTGATTCAGATAAAGGGGTGATCAAATTTTGGTTTAAGTTAGTTTTAAGAAATTAAAAAGGCGATGTTAGGGATGGAAATAGTGCCAGTTTCATAATAGATAAGCATTGGGTAACTTGGACACCAAGTCATGTTTAAAATAACCTACATGTACGAACAGAGCTATTTGAAAATATAACTCACGGAGGCTCTTTGTGGCGAAAATTGAATAAGAGAACATTGGCCTCGAAGAGAAAGAATAGGGAAAATGTAATCCGTTAGACGTCCACCTTGTTTGCATTTTAGTTTTCCATTTTAAAATCTTTTTTAATTGGACAAGCTATAGAGTCTTTGGAAGATTTTGTAATTAAAACAATGAATGAACGTATCTCTATTTGCATCTTATTTGATACGATTTTGTAAAGAGGTGGAAGGCTTTGGTCCATGGTCAAACCCGACATACTTATGGCGGATTTTAAAACGACGCAAATATGATCCATACGCTGAATGATACAATGGTCCCCATTGTGAGTACACATATTTCAGATGAGACGATTTAAATGCAGAGTCAGCTTTGCGCCTACTTCAAGTATCCACTTAGTCAATCACAATACGGCTGCAGTACTTGATGGCAACTTTACTCCACACAAGTACCTCACAGTTCTTTCTTGTCATTAAAATGTCGAATTTGTCATTTTACTCAGCGGTTTAAGTGGTTTTGGACAAAGCACCACTGACATAATTTCGGTTTGACCATACGGGCTGTCTATAATGTGACAATTACGTCTTGTAATTTCACAAATACTCCATGCTAGTTGCTATGTTCCCCACCAACGTATAAGGGGCTTTCGCTAATGACCTTGTAACTATAAACCGACTAGGGCTGGAATCACTGGGTCTTAGTTCATTTGATCTTCCATCCATGTTTAATTAGGCAGGGCTTTTGTCTTTCTCTAGAGCATTTGACGTAACATCATACAAATTGCAAAACTTCCCATGCGGAAAGTTTGAGATTGCAGTCTTTAATACATATCGGTAATCGATTTTCCACAATCGATGAATTACAGATACAAGCCCGATTATTAGTAACCATCGATCTTGCCATATCTAAGCAAAAATTCGATTTTGGGGTGCGCGACCCTTACTCGTGAAGTTGCCGCGGAACTGACAGGGTTGGTTGGAACGGAGGCAGGCCAATTTGTGGAGGATTTTTTTTCGTTTACACAGTACAACCAGCACAAGTTGCCACTGGTGAAAACGAAAAGAGAGAATCACTCAAGGAAGAAATCTCGTCCCTCTAGTCATCATGCCTCAAGGCTCGCCCAACCCAGCAGAGATTCGGATAGCAGCTGCGTACGGAGGTATGTCCTCTTTAATAATTGAGTCGGTGTAAGGACGAAGTTTTACCAGTTAAATGTCTTTTGCAATTAGTTTAATTAGATACCTGCTGCTTTACTATTCTGGCTGTGCAAGCAACCTGTTGGTTACTGAAAACGTTACTTCGACATTAGTTTCATCCATTATCAGTCATATTGATGAAGTCGAGGCTTTTTTTGTTCGAAGACATAACAAGTCAAAAATAAACATTGTTAACTATTTTTCAAACTGATATTTCAAATTCTAATATTTACTGTTCTTGAAAATATTGTGTATTCCTGCTTGCTTCTTAGCATGGCTGCCGTTGTAATTACTGAAAAATTTGGATATGAAAAGGTGGATTTCCAATAGAGCAATCTACTTTTTAGGCCCTCTAATCATTTAACAAAGCGAAAAATGTTTAACAAATATTGGAAATCTATGATAGAGCACATGACGCAACTCTCTTGTATTTCGGCGTCTTTTTTGTGTATTTCATTTATTCTAATGGACTGGAATTTTGACAGAATCTACGTGTTATATTATTGTTCTGATAAAGCAAGCTGATCTCAACAACTGCCTTAATTTGGCAGGTTCGACCAGTCATGAAGCATTCATTTGATGAAGTAGTTCTGAATTATTTAGTTTATTGGTTTGTTGACAACGTCTGCTGACAATACCTACAATATCTTAATTATATCTTGTTCCAAGAGTTTTGTCATCGTTGTTTTTTTTTTTTTTTTCAAGTAAGTAATATACATCGTATCTTTATTTGTTACGTCTGGTGTTTCTTTCAGAATTTTTCTGATATTTTGAAAAAGTGGTTATGTCACGAGTGATTACACTTTTTTGTTCCATATTAAAACGCATGTAATAATGTATTAACATGACATGATGTTCGTTCTCTTTCGGTTATTCTTCCCATAATTTATAATAATTTACGCTTAAGGACTACAAAATAAACCCCTATAATAAAAAAGGGTCATTATAGAATAGCCGTTGAAAGTATTGTACATAAGTTGTATGTCTTTTGTCCTCCGTGCGTACCGCACCTATTCTTGTAATTTAAGAGTAGATAAAGATCTTTAGCAACACTGTTTGATAGAGTTCAGATAATTTGTCTGGGGTTAATTTTATCGTCCAAATTCTAATTATGAAGCTTTTTTCCTTTTTTTATTCTATGCATCAATTAAAGCAATTCGCTTATGGAGTTTTCTGTTAAGCAGACTAAGAATATAACTTAAAAAGCAGTGGTAGACAAAAAACACTCTGCATGCGTATTTGCGATATAAATTTGGGCATTTCATCTATGATAGTCACTTGTCTAGATACTTTCTGTCGTATTTTTAGTAGCATGAAGCGGTTACATACTTTATCTCAGCGGTGAAGTACTGGTTAATTACACTGAAGATCAATCCGTATAGTTGATCTCCGCAATTTCCTAGGCAACCACACAAGTTCTTGATGATCTAATTAAGGAGCTCGATCACACGCACACATTCACAGTGATCGAGTGGATTATGCCAAACCTGAATTAAAAATCACGCCTTGATGCAAGTTCAGGCATTTTTAAAATAATACGGCACTCACATTTTTGTGGTATGAGAATACAGTTTCAAATAGAACCAGTACCTGCTAAGCCATTTAATGCAAAGTTGTTCATTTGTAATTTTGGCGTGTTGCATTTATCGCGCCAAGCTGTAAAGCCATCCATCTTCTGAAATGCACTGATGGGGTGCATTGATGGGATGTAACGTGGGGAAAAAAGAAAATTTATTTAGTTCGGAAAAATAGAGAAATCAAATAGATATGTTAAATAACTTTGTTATGATATAAAGAACTAACAACGTACTTTCAGTCATTCTCTCAATAGAAACTTCGGCAGAAATGTGGTATACATAGCTAACTGCTTCAATATCTTCATTATTGACTGGATTGATCTGAAACTTACTTCATTGTTTTATAATGCACAGATTACCATTGTGTGAAATGTAACCAATTATCATATCGACCGTGGTGGCAAAGAACAAAGTCATAATATAATACTACCACAGTGGAATTCTACTGGGCATTTGAATATATACGGAACCATATGTTAGACTAAATGACCCATACAATTGGCGGTCAACCTAGCAATTTGGAGGGATTTTTTCTCATTCTTTTTTATGTTTCATATTTAATTCTATAGGTCCAGGTCCCGCCTATATGTTGCCTCCAACCATCGGGGCCAACGGTCACGATCCAACCAGAGTCAAGAACCCAGGGTATTCATTTGGACAGAAGTTTGCTCGTAAGTTTTTTTTCAGAAATCATATTATATTCACTATCAATCACAGGTACAAATTAGGCAGATCTCGTTTGTAATTTAAAGATCATATCTTTATCACTTCATGGCAATGATCTTTGTTATAATATTGATAGGAGAAATGTTAGGGCCAAGTTGAAACCACAATTAATTCTTATTCCGATGCCTGTTCAGATAAAAATCAAAATCTTATCTTTTTTATTTTAATAATTTATTTATTCATTTATTTTAATCGTAAAAGTTTTCTTTGCTTCTTAGATTTAGCATTATTGTAAAGTTTTACTCAGAAAAAGATGATATTTTAAAGCAAACCTTTGCATTAATGCTTATCATTTTTCCTCTCCAGCTAATACGGACTGCTCCCCGGGACCTATTTATCATGTGAACCCCTCCCTCACGCGAAGAGGAGGCAATGGAAACCCCAGATATTCGTTCGCTGGGAGACAAAAGGAGCTATGTGAGTGAGGGGTATAAATTGGACATACCTGTATATCTTAACAAGTTCTCCAACATGTGATCACTGAAAAAGAGCAAAAATATAAATTGAAGTAATCTGGCAACCGGTGGCATTGTTTAAGGTACCCTACAAGTACCAGGTATTTTCCCGTAGAATCGGATTTTTCTTGAAAAAAAAAAACAATTTTCTGTTATTCACGAATAGCTGATGGCTCCTATGTTTTATGTCATCTTAATCAAATGATTCACTTGAAGTAAAGTCTTACTGTACATTTCAGAAAGAAATATCGACATCAATTTTTTTATTTTATTTTATTTTTATTTATTTCTTTCTTTTTTTTTGGGGGGGGGGGGGTATAGTTTTTAAGGTCTGAACTGGCAAAGATATGTATTATGTAGCTTTGCAGGGTATGTAAACAGCTGACAGGATATAAGCAAAAACCATGGTCGATATTCAGATTAACTAGTTTAGCAAGATGAAGTGGATCTAAAATCCCTACTTAATGTTTGAAGAGGGATCCGTTTGCCGTTAGATTGGCTAAGGCGGCAGGCCTAATAACATATCTTGTTCAACTTACCTGAATGAGACTCAAAACATTCACTCATTCAGTACCTGAATGAATACAGCACATTGTAAAGATATCTTTTGGGTAGAAAGCGGGTTCTTTGTGCTTGCAACTGTGATATTGATGACTTCATTGATTTGCCATTAATTGGCCTACTTGAAAATCCCAAAACGCAATGGGCTCATTATGACGATTCACTAACCGCAATCGAATCACCTACCACACTCTACTCATCCCCAATGAATAAAAGGAAAAGTAAAACGATACACAAGTGAACCAGTCCCAATTTTCCCGTTACGACAACAAACATCTGAGATTTCGTACAGAATCCATTGCAAAAAGGCAATAAAACAATAAATATAACTATACCTTTAGATGAGTAGCCTTAATATTTCCTCCCTTTCATTTCAGCTAAATTCCATACTCCGGGTCCAGGTGCATACAACTGCGACAAAGTGAAGCCCGTGAAAGAAAGGAAAGCACCTGCTTACTCCATCGGCCTGAGAACCCGATATCGACCCACCGACAACATCCCAGCTCCAAACTCCTACTCTGTTCCATCCACTCTCGGATCAAAAGTGCCTGACAAACGCGGAAATCCGAGCTTCACCATGACGGCACGAAACGCCAATTCTTACGACACGAAAACCCCAGGACCGAATCATTACAAGATTGTCGACGCGAGCGTGTATAAGAAACGGCCCGTGCATTTCAGTCTGAAAGGGCGCACTTCCCAGCCTGGGGACAAGACACAGAAGCCAGGACCCGGGGCACACAATCCGCAGTTAGTGACTGTGCACATGAAATCTAATCCAAAATTCACGATGGGAACTCGGCACTCTCAGTTCGTCATGCCTATGATCACATTGGCGGACGTGTCAGACTAAGAGTGCTTTCCCAGAGATTTAGATCGATCTAGAGATTAAGATTTAGATCGACCTAACTCCCTGGGGGTTCACGCTAAATTGCAGTCAGCCGAACGGGCACCATAGTTAATTACCCCCTTACAGCTTTTAGTAGGCGGGACAGACGCTTAAGCCGGCCAAGCTGACAGTAATCTAGTGAGACTCCCCACAGGGATAGATCGATCTAAAAATCTATGGAAATGGGGTGTAACAAGTGAAACGGACTAGATCTTTCTAGGACTTCTAACCTATATAAACTGCGATTAACTTTATGATATAGCCTAATCATTGCTCAATTAATCATGACATCATCTATTTGTTAAAAATGAACATAATAAAATTGACTTATTCATAATTAGTGATCACTTTGGTTTGTTCGTTTTTACAAGAAAAATCCAGATCCTTGCACAACAGTGCTGGCTTCTCTCCGCCCCTAAGGGCCTACTTCCTGACTACATGCACCAACGCCAATAAATCAGAAAACAAAAAGCAGCAATCAAAAATGTTCTTAAAAGACCATTTTAGTCATTTTAAAACACTTTTTTTATTTTATTTTACATTAGTCAAAAAAAGAAACCAAAATATACCCAAAGACGAAAGGGAGGCTTTACGTTATCGAAATGTATCTTAAAATCAGGATACATTTGAGGTACATACATTATTACATGTATTCACTTCATTCATATCGGTAAAATCTGGTGCAAGGCGGTATATGACGTGTTTCTACTGCAAACTGCAACAGAACAGCTATGCACTTAAACTCCTTCCAAGAACTTAACTGCACCTGTTTAAAGAATAAAGAACATTAAATTTCGCGAGGTCATCATTAATTTCAGTCTGATACAAATCCTCTGACATTGTGAGTTAAGGCCAGTCGAAGTTCGTATTTTAAGTCGTTTAAAAAACTAGATAAATACCCCTTGATCATATCAACCTCATCGGTGTATTGATCACTCGGGTAGTGTTTTATTCCTTGATAAAATCAGCCTCCTATTTTTGAGCATGAAATAATAGCTAGATTTTTCAGAATGGATGTCGTTCTTTTTATTGTGTTAGTTGTGCCAGGTGCACAGTGAAATGTATATATGTTGTCCTTACAAACACATTCTTATTTTGGAAAAAAAGGAGTCACCCTATTTTGAATCAAAACAGTCCTAGAATAGTGTAGAGGCCTTTGTTGGCCGAAAAAGTCCATGTTTTACCATTGACATATTTGTTTGTGAATAAATTTGATCTGCTGTTTTCTTTTTCTGCCTCGGCACGCTTCAAGGTTTTCTAAATAAGCCAGGTCGCTCCGAGTCAAAGGGCCCATTACGAACAAAAATAAACTGAAATGCCAGATGATACGAGTTCAAGGTGATGCTATCAAGCATACATAAATATATAATAAGTCTAACCTGTGCAACAGAATTAGTATTTCAAGATATTCTAATGGATAAATTACTGGATAATGGTGTTACATGACAACATGAATTTAAGTCTGCCATTTTAAAGTAGCACTCTTAGCATTTCAGTGAATATTCCATTAATTTTTTATTTGCAAATAAAGACAGAGGAAAATCTTGTTTACGTTTAATCAGTTATAAGTAAACTGGAATTTACACGCTGTGTGGTTCTCTTTTAAAGTTAAAAAAATAATATTTTCCCCAACAAAAAAGAAAGAAATGCGTGGAGACACAGAGTACTGACAGGATATAAAGTGAGGAGTTCATACTCAGCAAAGGCAAGGTGTCTGAGAGCGTTATTTCCCCAAAAGAATAACTAATTAATATTTTAGGAGCATTTCACTAATTGAGCTGCAGAGAATATTACAAGTTTGATGATGCAACTCACCGGCTCTTGGCAACCCCTCCTGTCCATGTGCCCTACATGCCAAAAGCATGTAGAACCTTCTCATTTGTTATGGGAATACGTTGAGCAAATATTTCATTTCAGAAAAACCCGAATGAGATATTCTAGAAAAATACTCAATCATACGAAAAACATCTTACATTTTGCCTGATGTAGAATCAGGGGCATTAGTGATATTTTTCAAACAAGGTGTGTTCTACTTAAGTCTCCGAACATACCCCCTGATGCGGATAGTATTTGTTTAAATTCACTACTTTTCTTTTCAGCCAATGTCCAGCGTATTACAATCTCTGTCCATTATCTATGAAGGTTGAGTGGTCAGCAAATATTTAATAAGTTCCCCAACCTGTCTAAAGACACGTGTGCTTTCTGTAGTCTTCACTTGTGACAAACTGGTAAATAAAATTCGCCGTTTAAGTCCTTACTTTCTACGCTCGGTGTGTTTTCGGAGCATTTCCTCTAGGCAGAAGGGGGTATTAATTTGTCATTAAATTTAGTTGTCAGTGATAAAGGAGAAAGGCTTCGACATCTATGATAGAAACCTTGATACATCTTGTGTAAAATAAGATTACAATTGAGAAAATCGGGGAGAGCGAGCTAGACCAACAAATTTAAAGAAACTGACAAAATATGGCCCAAAAGGTGTAAAACGAGCGCATTCCATGCGAGGCGTCGTCAACCCTTGCTTGAAAAACACTACTTACTTAGGAAAACACGTTCGAAAGTGCTAATGAATTAAACCTTAATCCCCATATCGCCTCTTGGGTTATTATTACCGCGTCAGCACAGTATTTACGCCGTTAGGCACGGCCCTTCATTAAAATGTTGCACCTTGCGAAAAGGTGTTATTGTTATTGTAATAAGTCACTCATTTTTCGCTTGTGTGTTCCAAATAAAAGATGTACGCAAAAGATCCGTTCACGGGTTATTTATTGTTTATTCGTGTGCGGTGTTCTCTGTTTTCCTTTCAAATACACGTTTATTTGAAATGTTTGGTGACGGTCAGTTTGAAGTATATAGTATTGCACTTGAATAACATACCATATTTTGTGACCTAATAGGTAACTGACCGTGACATCATTTACAAGGGAAGTGCCAGTACCTCGTGGTAAACATAAAATGTTATTAATTGTAGAAACAAAAAGCTTGCTTTGTTCCTAATAATTTTCACCCCGAATTGCAGTAGTTCCTATTACGCATTTACAGACTCGCTGAAAATTACGTCGTTTACATTGCCCAATCATTATGAGATACGGTGCATTTATTCACAAATGTAATTCAACACAACTGCCCAAATTCCATAAACCCTTTTCCAACCCAGACCACTAGGCTATATGTTTGTCCTGGGTTAAAAAAAAACGTTTTACCCTATCAGAATAACGGTGCTTCCAGTTTCCTCTTTTTGTCTTTGAATTTCCTTTTCCGAGTTTAATGTCATTCTTGATATGATGGTAAACATTCAATGTATCTCGCCATTTTGGGAATTTGAATTGATAGTATGACAAGGACTGGGAACATGTCTGCTCGACAGTGCTAGAAATTAGAACTGATTTGCAAGGCCAAGGCCCACGACATTTTGACCTTGGATACCAGTTTTACATTTTCCCCAACAGCTCAAAGAGGTGTTAGTTCTGTCGTCTGCGCTTATTTTAGCAAAGCACCAAACGCTTCAGACGCTTAGCTTTTACAATACGAGTTTTATAACTCCTTAGTTTAACTGATATCAATTTGCAAAAATGACAGTGGACGCAGGATAGATATGCCAATAAATCGAGCTACCGAGACAAGAGTAAAACACAAAGGGAAATTTTCACTAGTTTTGTACAATATTTTGCACTTTTTCCACGTGTTTTATGTACACAAGGACACGTTTCTTTAATTGCGTTCTCTTGTGCTGGAGTGCACTCACTTAACAATATATGAGGAGCAGCTGTTAAGCAGAGCACCATTGTTCCTTTATTTCCGCAGATCTTGGAGACACACGGCTAATAAACTCCACTCCATTTGAGATAATACAAAAATCGATCGAAATTGTTATGAAACATATTTTCAAATTATAAAAGAAATCGATTTTAATGTATCTTCCGAGAGTTTTGCGTTGCGTTTATTTGTACCTTGATGTTTATGGGCCCTCATATAGTGATGCGTCGAATCAATACATTTTTCTAATGAAATGTCGGAATAACAAAATAATATTTTAGTTGCACTCCAGTGTGTTTTTATTACTTCAACAAGGCTACAATCAATCTTACAGCATTTCATCTACATTTCCGAGTGAACTGCAATAAATTGAGCGTCTCATCCATGAGAATTCCCCAGAAGGAAACTGCTAAAAAATTACATCAATTCAGTTCTGACAGACGATGATGTGGTCCACGACAAATAACGCTGAAAATGTGAAAATAAATGGCCTTGGGAATGTTTTCTTACCATATACCGGCATGTTAGTCTGGACTTTGTTTCAATTCAATATTGACGTTGGCTGAACAATAAACGGACCTTCATCAAATAATGCATACTGCAGTGAGATTTATTTTTTGAGGGGCGATCGAAAGTTGCATCAGTTTTATAATGGTCGAAAGCATGGTCTTGTTCTTATATTTGAACTACTGTTTCGATTTATTAACTCTGCCCCTTCCTCCAAGCAGAGATCAATTAGCCGTGTTGAATCAGTATTTATTAACATAGCCACTGAAAGGTGAAATGTCAGTGTTGCTTTGTTACTGTGCACGTAACAGAACAAGACCGCGACTATTCCAATATCTTTAATGCAAAAGGCATTGTGTTTTGTATAAATTACAATAATTGCGCAAAACATTGACGCAAATGCACATGCCTTGGAGATGAAATCTGACGTTTCCGGCTTTTTAATGCAATGTTCTCGTCAAATATTGTACTAGGAAAATGGAACGGTATGAGACAAACTGATAGCCCATATCCCTAGGCTCCCGTTTGTCTCAACTACAATAGTGACCATGGCAGTTACCTTACGTTTTGGCAAAATGCTTCTCGTAGCCCTGGGTCCTGGACCTTTCTTATCAAAACGCATGTTTCGTTTCATTTAATAATATATGGAAATCTTATCAATAGATAATGTATTGAGAAGGCTGCTTAGAGTCCGTGGCGTTTTAAAGATTTTAATTTTAATCCTTATTCGACATACACTGCGAGCTAACTTGGTCTTCGTTGCCGCACGTTTATGCCAACATTGCAATTTGAAGCTGCTACTTGTAACTATATATTGTTGCCGCTAAATGTCACTGCCACTACTACTGCTGCTACGATGACATTGTGCATGAAATAGTCCTTTGAACCCAAGAATCTGATTTCAAACCTTTTAGACAAGATACAAAAACAGAAGACAAACGATAAAGGTTGCATAATTTAATATTCAATAACTGAATGTCGTCATATCACAGTTTCTGAGGACGGACAATTCACGTACACGAGTAAATGTCATGGCTTTTCACAACCTAATTACACAATGGAAGATCAAGATTTCAAAGTTTCATTAGACAAGCTCAACCAGACCTATGCTTTGGCTAACATGCGTAATTCATATGATTCAACACAAGTGGCCATTTGCTTCTGCTGGCATACCTCTGTGAGAAAGTATCGCTAATCAATGGCGGTAACTGCAATCACAATTTGCTATAATTAACGTTTTGTGTGAACCGCTGAATTATTAATCAAACCTATCAATTGTTCGAATGCTTAATTCCCTCAAATGTGTCTGATTTCAAACTTCTTTTCCTGGTCTTCCTTTCGATGGGATTCTTGACATTTAAGAGTTGTTCGAGTAAGTTGAAATTAATTTCATATCAACCAAACGATCCATATTCTATCATTAATAACATTAATTTCAAAGTGACCCGTATAATTTTAAAATTGTCCATATTACTTTGCCTTACTATTCAGATTCGCTCTTTCGTGTCATTTTTAACAGAAATTCTAAAAAATGAAAACAAGATTGATTTTCCAGAAATAAAACTAAAACAAAATTATGCATTGTAAATGCATCTTAACACGATGTCTGTAACATAAATTGTTCTTTTTTAATTGAAGCATGACATGTGTCATGTGCTAGTGACATCACAAACACAAAATGATTGGCACAGGTGCTAGGTAGGTAAAAATCCTGTTGGCATATTATACATGTACATACTGAAAAGGTCATTGTCATGTTTAAGCATAATCCGAAACAATTAAAGATAAGTCGTCAAAATTTAAATAGAAAAGAGGTGAAAAAGAAACCTGTGAACACAGCTCGTGATACAAAACATAAAAAATTGGCACGCGAATCGGTGTAATGTTCTGCACCTTTGATAGCGAAAACTGAATCTTGTCGCTTTTTCTTTGTACATAAATGCTAACTAGTCATCTACAAAAAAGGGAAAATAATCAAACTTGAGCTTAATATCAGTCACACAAAATATCATACTTCATTTACACTGATTATGTTTATATACCAAAAATGCATCCTCCCCACTCCCCTCTAAATGTAAAAAAAAGGGAAAGAAACAAGAAAAAAAAAACGAAAATGTGAAGATGAATCTCCATTTCTAATACTGAAACGTATTATCATATGTATACAACAGATATCACAGCAACAGCCTTCGTCATTAGTAATCAGTTATCACCTGATAATTCAATGGGAAGGTCTGTGCTACTGCTAACTGGTCTTGGTGTGTTTGTTGGGGTATCCTTGTTTGTTATGAATGTCTTACTGGTGACATGAGATTTAGCAGCAGAAGCTGCGCGTTCGCCTTCAATCGGATCGCCGTCATCACCATTATTATCTACCGGGATAACGTCAATTTCTAAATCGTCTGCTTTTTGAGCGTCCTCGACAGCGAGTTCTTCCAGACGAGCGCCTAGGTCGTTTGATAAAAGTTGAGCATGAGCTAAGTGATCGTCGTCCGCGTGACCGTCTACTGGACTTTGTATACCAGAGTCATGATTGTCCATTTTGCTCCGAGATTCTTGGGCACCACGGTCATTGTTTTCATCAATATAATCCCGCGATGTGGAGATTGCTTCTATTTCTGAGCGTCCTTTCTTTTGATTTGATTTTTGCCCCTGTATGAGCATCATCTCCCCCGGGGTAGGGACCCCCGATGTAAATCTTGGCTGTCCCGCCCTGACGGAGCCCGCGAGAGACGGGGGTGGGGGGTATGCAGTTTTGGTCTTCCTTAACTGCTCTAAAGTTGACTTCATTTCCAATGTCAGTTGCTGTTCGATCCCTAAAGGTCGACCAGTTTCGTTCATTACCTGTAAGGTATTCTGTATACCCCCGGTTCTATACGCGTCATAATCAGGATTTCTTTGCTGATGTTTTCGGCGATGTTGTCTAAAAAGTTGTTGCTGCTGCTGGAATTTTTTCCTTAATTTCAAAGGAGTGTTTCTTATTTCTATCAAAGGAAGAGTGTGAGATCTAGAAAAGTTTCCATCGTATGTGTACGGTGTGTGTGGGAACTCCGGGATACTTTTGCCGTAGTCTCCCATAGTCATGGGAGTAGAAGCTCCGTATATACTTCGGGCTATATAGTCTAGTTCGTTTGTCATGGACGTAGGCGGCATGGTGTACGATCTCTGGTAGGAGGTGTATAGGCTCGCCGGCAGAGATTTGAACGTTAGGCCGGGTCTAACTCTCCGACCCGACAACCGAATCATCTGCTGTTTGGCTATATCTTCATCACTCATGGATTTCTTTAGAAAACTGTAAGAGATATTTTCGCTCCTGCCAGTTTGAATTTCAGACAGAGTCGATTTCTCTCGGTCCGGTTTTGTAGCGAAACCGAATTTTGGCAACTTTTGAAACATATCTTTGGTGTGAGCCCGAGGGCTGCTGTAGCCACGGGGACTGACATTACTGCTACTCCGAGCAGAGTTAATATTCTTGTCCTCCTGCTCATCCTCCTCTGAGATAAATGTCTTCTCGTGTTCGCGGTGCGTGGAACCTCCGCCTATGGAACCGAGCATGTTACTCATTAGTTCCCTCTGTGCGATGAATTCCATTTTATGAACTGCCATAGCCGCAGCAGCGGCCGCCTCATTCTCTTGTGCTGCAAAACGTAACATTTTCGTCTCCCAGTAGTTTGGCAAACTTTTTGCCCGCCTCCACTCCTTTTGAACGAAAGGTTTCAGTTCCACCACTGGGAGGTCTGGGACGCTGGAGGGATTCGGTTGGCGACCCTCGGGAGGCCGTATTCCCTTTCCGATGGCCATGAACGCGTCTTGCCTCCGACTCTCAACCTTACAACCATCCCCAGGTTCCGCCATCTTGAGCAGAAAAAGGTTAAATGTTTTTAGGAGCAACTTGTTAAGTCTAACACCCCTCACAGGTGTTAATCTCTCCTAGTTGACCATCGACTGAGCTCTCCTCGATACTGCAAGTCCGTTTACATGTTACGCTAAGATGATTGCCTCAAACTTATGCGTTTTGAAGCCTATTTCTCATTCGCCAGCCATGTATTTGCGCAGGCATTAACATCACATTCTCGGCCAATACTCCACATAATACCGTCAACTTAAGCACAAAGCGCATAGGTTGCTAAGTATGAATGGGGCGACCCCTTACCCCTAGCAACAGCTAAACAATATGGCGGAGTGTGCTGAAAGCTTACCAAGTTAATCAACGATAACGCGCTATTGATATTCTAATTCTAGCCGGCTTTGTTCTGTGACCTTTACGTGATAGAAATATAGGCATGTTGTTTATGATATATAATCACACATGACCTCAATGCTGAATAAGTATTTTCTAAACAAGTTGCTTTTGTCTGAAATAACTGCCTTCCTTCATTTAAAGTGCACAATTTTTCCGCCTTTGAAAATCCTTAGTTAAGAGATCGTAAAGTTCTTTTCTTTTTTATAATTGCATAACCGCTTTAGTTCTCGAAAAATAATGGATATTGCCATTTTGAGGAGGATGAAAACAATAGAGTCTGCAACGTGATTAACTAAGGAGAGAAAAAGAAAAAAATAGAGAGAGGGGGGAGAGAGAGGGAGAGAGAGAGGGGTGGGGGATAAAAAGTGCGGCTGCCTAACTGAAAAAAGGAATGTACCTTGTTAAAAGACAAAGTAGTGTGTAATATAGAGCGTTACCAAGAGAGAGAAAAATGGCAACTTTATAGCATTTTGATAAAGTGACAATTCATACATATTCTTTGTACAGTGTCAATAGTTAAGCGTATGATTGACTGCAACAACTGTTTGCTAATCCTAATCATTGGCGATAAAGTCTGAAAGTAATCTTGCGAAATGCTAATGATAAACGTTTAATTTATATGACAGCAACCAAAGACTTGAAATAAATCTCTTGCAATCTTAGTTTTGTCCCACAACGAAGCATTTTTGTTGGAGAACAAGGTGAGTTTTAAAATGCGTAAAAAATGAAAAAGCTCCTTTTTTTTTTTTTGGTTTGCAACTTCATGTAACAAGTCACAATATAATCTCAAACGAGAGAGTTATAAGGGTACAGGAACGCTAAACAGCTAAGCTCTGGTGATTTGTTGTTGTTCGCATATACAAGAACTAAATACACTTCATGCTAAAAATTCTAACTGTAGTGGTCGTGGGAAACTGTTTACAAGCGTTTATGTACATACATATGTCATCTATGTCCGACATCAGTTGCACCGGTGATAAATTTCGCTACCGTAACAACAGACAAGATTTGTCGTGTATATCACAGATAAATATGTGGTATTGGTGTGTATCTTAGCATAACTCAGTACATCTCTGCCAGATTGTTTTACCGTTTATCTGTGGATTTATAAAGCTGAAGAGAATCAAAAGCAAAAATAAAAAGAGAAAATCCTGACAGAGATCACTGGAGTTTGTGCTAACTTTTAGATAGCTATTTCAATCGTATTAATAGGGCTTTTTGTTTAAGAGAAATTCTTGATTAAAAAAAAGACAATTTTAGCCTCAAAACGCTGATATTACGTCACTCGTGTTACACTGTGACTACAAACTTTGAAAAATTGTTTGGCTTGCTAGATCTTATCTTTAAGTTAATAGGAAATTTCATTAGCTGCATTAGTTTTGGAGTTTTTCGTTAATATCCAAGATCCCTTAAACGGAGTGCTCTCAGTAAATATATTCAATAGCGCTTACATCAAAGATATAAGTAAAAAAGGATTAGCTTCAAGGCTTACATAAGTTTTTGGTCTTAGCTCTCTCTCTCTCTCTCTCTGGTTGTGTGTGTGTGTGTGTGTGTGTGTGTACGCGCTTCCGTGTTCATTATCTCTTTTATTACAAGAATGCAGCAGCTGAGCATCAGGTAAATGTCCCACTGAAGCAATCACCTTCTAAACAAGCCATCAGGGCCTGTGGGTGTTCTCTCCTAAATACTGGTAAATTTCAAGGTCAATTCAAATTTATAAAAGGGGAAAAAGAACGATAAGTATCTAAATAGACTGAGTCATAAGAATATTCTTATTGACTTTTGTCATAACTTCCAAGTCAAACATCCTTTGTTTAGAGATACTTTTTGAGGGTTTTTCTTTTTCATAACTTATCAAATGCAAGCCATATGGCTCTTCTGAAAATAAATGAAAAAATGCAATTGAATATGTCAAGTCACAAAGTTACAGCCTGTTTACTGCTCAATATACTGGTTGAAGCTGGATAAATCACACATTATTGCCATATGGCTATTTTATATGTCAAGTGACCCCATATATCAACTTTTCTTTCAGAGGTTAAAGCTCACTCTAGATGTTTCAAGAAAAATGGATACCACATTTCAGCAAGTGGGAAAATCACCAGTTTTTGCTTCACAACCAAGAAAACATCGACTGGGCCAGTCAAAAGCTCACATCTGCAGCCTTATAGGTGATCTGGCCTTCGAACAGTTCAAGGATGGGCGAGAAAATCTGTATAGAAACCGCAGAAAATACAGATTGCCGTCAAAATTCGGCCAGGTTATTGCCAAGCCGGACTTCGAGTCCAGATTTGTGGCCTTGAACAACGCCAAAGAAGCTGGGCGCGTCAAAGTGATTCCGTGCCACGCGAACAGCGCGAAAGGCGTTCGCGGGGGTAGCGTAGGTAACTCAAGACTTCAAAACCTCACTTTTCCGCCTGTGTGCCATCGCATGACCAGCTCCTGTCCTTGGGTCATAGAAACTGGACATTACTGCGACGTGCTGGGGCACTTCTCCTGCGTGGACTGCAGCCGAACGAGAAAGCGTTGCCGCTACGAGGAAGGACACAGGCGCGCCTACGCTGGCATACACGTGAGCCCCAAATTACTTTGTGCGCCGAAGAAGATAGAAGAGCAGTTAATTTGGGACCTCCTGTCTCTCCCAATGGAGCGTACACCGCTACAAGAGGTACCCAGTGGTAGAACATGCTTTATGTGCCGTATGCGACAGGGAACCTTTACAATGCGCACACATTTCTGTGGCCATTTGGCTTCGGAAAATGATATCCTCTTACGTGTGATGAAGAGAAATTCCGAAGCTGCGGAAGTTAAGAGACAGGACACATGTATAGAAGAGGTGGCAAAAAGTAACAGCATTGCAAAGGCAGCTGTAGACTTTAATACTTATCCCGTGCACAATTTCGCTTATACACCAAGAAACAGTTTTGCAGACTTAACGCCTGCTCCACCTATGGTTGATAAAACGAAGCAGAACTATTGAAAAAGACGCCATGAATAATTCAAACTTTTGCAAGATAGATCACTTTTAACTATTTTGGAATGGAATTTTACGTTTTATGAAATATTGTAACATGACTGTAAATGTAGCGGTTATTTTTCTCTCGACGTTCAAATAAAGTCATATTAAAAACAAATGTTTTAAGAAGTAGGTACATTTTTATTGGGAAAGCACGATTACAAAACACAGCAGGCACAATCCTATTTCAGTCTATAAATAATTGTCATAATCTCAGCCACTGACTTTAATCAAAACCATTTCCATTCTCTATCTAATAAAAGAAAATTGTGCGAGTGTGAGAAAACAACACCCATTCAACACATATTTAAAATTGGCCAAATTTGTTCCTATTGACTTTTTGAAGTGAAAGTTGTTGACTAATGTTTTCTCTCATCCAGAGAGTTAAGTGATCTGATGCCCCAAAGGAATGCATGAATATACATTTATCACTCTCCTTCCTACAACATTAGGAACTCCCAAGCTCTCCTTCATCATTCCTAAGTCTGTTCTAGTGAACTAGAATCCTAGAAGGCATGTCCTGAACCAATTGCCAGTTTACGCATAGAACAAATTTCCATCCAGGTGTAATCCAATATATTCTTACATACTGTATTCAAGCCTTGGACACTTTCACAGTTTCTTACACCCTTTTTTAAAGGAAGATTCGTTTGGACCAATTTAATCTTCATCCCAATCTTGGTTCTTTTTTGCTTTGGGTCCTCCAGCTGCTTTGGCCATAATAATCTGGGGACAAAAATGGAAACAAATTAGTTAATTGAACATGGGTGTTATTAATTTCATAGTGGACCATGTAAATATCCTGTTGCCATCACAGCTGCAAGCAAGTTTTCTTGGTTTTACGTTAACCTATAGCTGCAGCATACAACAACTCGAGGTGTTTGTAAGAAACCCATAGTGCCTTCAATCTTTTTCTAAAATTCCATGAAATTTGAAACCACTGAATGAGTTAAAATTGAAGCACCCACAGTAAATCACCAATGTTCTCAACACAAAAATATTGTGAGAAAGAGGGGGGCTTTACAGAGAGTGCAACATCCTATCAATTGACATTATCCCACTGTTACATTAAATAGCACTGCTCTGACAAAACAATGGAACTGATCTGCTGTACAACAGCCTGTGGTTTATACAGAAGAATTACAAGTCTACAGTCCCTACCTGGTCAACTTTGAGCACAGTATTGGCAGCATTGGTGGCAAACTTCAAGCCCCAGTACTTGGTGGTGTAGAGATCAAGAATGTTGGCTTCTAAAGCATCTCTGATAGCTGCTCCCTCGCCCTAAAAAGTAACAAATTTCAACATAGGAATTCCAAGTTCAAACTGGTACTGGTTGCTTAAACTGCTATCATAAAATGAAAATCCAGATGTATCTAAGCTATTCTTTTAAATTACACTTCGATTTTATAATTCCTACTTCGACCTAAACACTGACTGCAAGAGATAAGAGTTAGATGAAAGCTTCCTGAACTAGTCTTTGGTATAATCTTACTAAATTTGAACCCATGCCTTCCCACTTTGTTAGAACTATAATTATTGACCCATCAAGTCAGTATCTTAAAATATCAAACATCAACAACATACCCCAATATCAAATCCCATATTTTTGCCTCCCTCTTGGTGGGCTGCATACAGCTTGGAGATGACCTCTGTCCCCTTGACGCCAGTGTTCTCAGACAATGCCTTGGGGACCACCTCAAGCGCCTCAGCAAACTTCTTGATAGCATACTGCTCTAGACCAGGACAGGTCTGGAGGGGAAAAAAAAGATGCAAATTTAATATGCACTGCTTCAATTACTATTAACTCTGCATAGATTAAAAAAAGTAATAATAATGAATAATAAATGAATAAATAAAAAAAGTTTTGCATATTATGCTTTCCCAGGTCAAGACAATTCATTAAACACATAAGTTTAAAATACAAAACTCAATTATATATATAATGATACAGGGCAAGGATTTTGGGCTTGTTTCAGGAACAAAAAATACAAACATGTAAGATTTCATTACACAAATATTTCAAAATGATATCAAACAGAGACCCAACTCAGACCCAATCACCACCACTGCAACGAGATCTGCAGAGGATAGTAAAATTTTAAAACATTACCTCTCCATACGAAGTGAGCTGTTTGGCCAGCTCAATCTCTGTGGCACCTGCTCCAGGTAGCAAACGGTCATCCTGCAAATATAAAGAGGTAGACAAATTACATCAAAACAAGCCTATAGCTCTCTTGTAAGTGTGCTAATATGAAATGTTGCATAAAGCATATATCATGACATTGTTATCACAGGACACTAAAATAGTTTAATTTCAAAGAAAATCAACACATTCACACTGGAAAAATTGCATTGTAATCAAATATGTTCAAATTTCAAAAATAATATCTCAAACCTCATGACACGATAGATTTTATTTCCTTTTTTTAAATGGTAGGAAGTCTTATAATGTGATAAAACTCACCTTGGTGAGTGCTTTGTATGTATTGACCCCATCATCTATGGCTCTCTCAATGTCGTCCATGATGTTATCAGTGGAGCCTCTTATCACAATGGTGGACACAGTGCTCTCAGCAGTATCTGAAAAATTAAACAAGTTTGTATCTACCGTATACCTTTTTTTGCAACAGAAATATATTAATATAGCAAAAAGATCATGTATCTCTCACAAGGAAGCCTACAAACAAAACTGTAAATACTAACAACAGTTTCCGGTAGCTGAATTTGGATGCAACAGTTTCTGTAAAAAAAAAAATATGCATAATCCATTAAAAACATTAAATGATCAGCATCCTGAAAACTTGGGAAAAGCTGTAAATATGAACCAAGTCCTGCTTCAAAAAATTGCAATCACCCCACACTTAAAGGCAGGGGAGGGGGGGGGAGTGAAAACTCTTTTGCTGCAAATGAAATGTTAAAAATTGGTAAACAAGGACTGTACTTATCCTGAAACTTCTAATTCGGTGTTATAGCCTACTGGGACAGCCTTGCATCAGCCATTACAACAAATGAGCAACAAATTACCCATGTCACTTGTACTACAAAATGAAATACATTGAACAACCCAAGAGAGATTGATTTACTTACACAGGAGGCTCAATGATAGGCCACTTAATCATAGCAACACATTACAGTAGTATTCACAAGCTAACTATACAGGATCATTTCAGGGTCTGTTAACTACCAACCCAGTAGCAAAAACTTATAAAAATGCAATTTGCTTTAGTACTACCAGAGTGAAGCAGTTTATGGATTAAATATAGATTAAAGATTTTGTTGAGGTAAAAATCACAGCGAAAATTTGGCTATCACACTTGGTAATTATGTCTATGTGGAGTAGAAAAAATATGTTTTGGCGAGTGCAAAATATTTCAGTGGAAACAAAACACTGCATGTCAATGTTAATACTTTAAGCGAATGTTGTCTGAAATGGACATATTCAAGGAACAACTGGAATGTAATATACCATAATCCAATACTGGTAAGCAGTGCTAATGAACATTATCCATAATGAAATGTGCACCCTACACAGTGTTAGGTAACATTGTCTGTTAAAGTGAAACAAACACGCAACATTATACAAAATGTTATGATCAGTAAGAAACGATCTATACATATGTAAAACCACACGCTGTTTGCAAAGAAAAAAAGTGTTCAAAACCACAGTTTTAACCAATGATTACCTTCAAAGCGAAGTGCAGGATTTAATCCTATAAAACAAAAGTGTATCAAAAACTCGATGCGTAACCAAAGCACAGACATTAAAAAACAAATATGTACCATTTTAAAGCAAAGAGAAGGGCTAGAAATTCATTTTCATTCATATATTTTTTTTTAATTCTAGCACTTAGAAAGTGCTGAGCCAGCTATAGTGGGCAACAATGAACTAAATATCAAGTCAGTGATAAACTACAGCAAATACCTTGTTTGAAGATGACCACTGGAGTTTCGCCTATCTCATCTATGTAGACATGGTCACAGTGTCCAGCTTCTTCTGCCGTAGGGGCAGTCTGAAATAGAGGAAGAACGGCCATTGGACAGCGCAAACAAACAAGCTATACATCAATGATTTAACAACCAAGTGCTCCCAACATGTCAGACTTTTTTCACAACAAACATCACCAGTCATATATGGGTTAATGTCTCAAAATGTTTATCACTGTCAATAGTTATTTCATTTCAATAAATACCTCTGTAAAAATAGATGTGTTAAATTTGGCTTGCATAATCCGTGAAATTATTCCCCACAATGCTGTCTCTCATAAGCACTGTTTCTTATCCGAAACAACTTTATATGCTGGCAAAGATAAAAGTACTAACAAAATCAAGAGACTTACCAAGCGAGGTAGAGGAGTGGCCCCAATTGCTCTGCATAACCTCCGTAAGTCCCATTTGGATAACAATCTTACTACCATCATTTTGTACTTGTTGGCATAGTGGAGAGCCAATTCGCCAACTTTACCTCCAGACACTATCACTTTGCAGCCAGTCTCTGCAATGGCTTTAATTTGCTGGAGAACGAAAATATAATAAAGTTATCACTTAAAGTGTTGATGTGATTTGATAAAATGTTAATGTGATAGAGTTGTCTAGCAGTCCAGTTACTTAACAGCATGTAAATGGAAATTATAATACTTTTCATAGCTAAATGAGGTTTTATATCTAATACGGCTGGGGGGAAACCTGCAAGTCAGCAAACACCACAAAATAAGCCAAACAGTTGACCTTACTTACCTCTTCAATCTGGTTTTCCTCTCCTTTATTGAAATCCATCAATTCTTTAGCAGTCTTAATCAACACAGTTCCCTGAAAAACAATTTACGTGACATTTACTGCACCCAAATTGTCCTCTCACAGAACAAGCTGCAAGCACTCAAAGCATATCGCCCTCAACATCTCTCTTCAATCAATCTGTTAGTACAAGTTATGAGGTGAAAAACTGTACATTCCTTTTCCATTACATTAATTTTCATTTCAAACAATGAGGACTTATATTACACCTACTGTAAAGACACACGCAAATTACACCATCTCTGAACTGCCTTACCTTGGTCTCTGTTTGAATGATATCTAATGGGCAGGAGAAGACGGCGACTTTAGCATCTGATGCCTTGGTGACCTCTCCCTCAGCCTCACGCTTGAACACCATACCGCTGACAACACTGGAACTGTGTATGCCAGACCCCTAGGAAAATGATAAGACTGATTAGAGTGGATCTTAATTCAATTAGAGTTTACAAGGAAGCAAAAACTGCTGCAATCTAATTTCCGTTAGAATAAGTGAACCCATAAAAAATTAAAAATTAAACAAAACAAAAACACATACAATACATAATAAATAAATAATAAACTAAGATGCCACAAGAACGACAAGAGCTAGATGCTACACATTAGCAGAAAAGTTACACTTACCAATATTTTACATACTCTAATATTATCAACGCTGAAGCTCAATTTGTTCTTCATTACTGATACTGAAAATGAAAGAAACACAGGTTAGTAAAACAAATCACGAGAACACTCCTTTCCCCTTTTGTCCCACTTTTCAACTAGTCGTTGCAAAGTTTTGGTCGCTTTAAATGTATCCTAATAAGAGCTTTTGGAGTAGAAGATAGTAAAACTCCTCAATGATTAAACTGTAAACAATGAATGTTAAACAACCACACAATGCTGCATTTGTACTATCTAAGGCTCTGTTCTCACAACTTTTAGATCGATCTATCACCGCGGGGAGTCTCACTAGATTACTGTCAGATAATCCGCCTTAAGTGTCCGTCCCCGCCTACTACAAGCTGTAAGGAGTAATTAACTTTCGTGTCCGCCCGGCTGACAGCTATTTAGCGTGAACCCCCAGGGAGTTAGGTCGATCCAATGTAGGTCGATCTAATCTATGAGAATGGGGTGTAATAGTTGTGTCTCAGGTTGGCCTCTATTCAAAAACACGAATGTTCTGAACTGTCACAAAACCAAAATACCAATTATAAAGGTGCATTTAGATAAAAAAAACATGATTCACAATTAACACCACCGGATTAAGCTGTCAAAGAGTTATCATCACTCTAGTATGGTGGCACTTTCCTGATACTTACTACATGCATCTGCTATTAAATCAGCCAAAAAGTCTTCGTTGCCATACTGTTTACTCATCACAGAGGTGCGTATTGCCTTTATCACTTCAGACTTGTTCTTCATGTCCTTTACACTGCCAACAACTAAATCTGTAAATAATAAGTTACACACATTTAATTGGACTTGAGGATATTCCCATCTTGGTTTCATCAAAAAATATGTGGCATGTAAACAGTTTATCTTGGATTCATATGTCATTTAAACATAATTGTTATAAATATTTGGTGTTGGGGCAAATCAATGGTGGAATATGAAAATGAAGACCAGTACTTTCTCATTCTTGCTAAATGTTTGCTTTTCATGTAAAAACATGTCAATGAACATAAACACACCTTTTGATCATTTCACTTACCAGGAATTATTTCTAAAGCTTTCTGGCAAGCAAGCTCATAACCTTCAACTACCTCTGTTACAGAAAGTCCCTGGAAAAATGAAACAATTACACTGAAGCAATATTTAGCATCAATAACAATACAATAACAAATTTGACCATTTTCCACAACACGGTACATATATAATAAAATAGCCATCTCTAGTTCTCGTGATTCTTACCAATTTCAGCAACTCCTCTGCACTTTCTAGTAAGGCCCCTGCGAACACTAAGACAAAGTTGGTTCCATCTCCACATTCTTGTTCCTGCTGCTGAGAGGCTAAAACCAGCATTTTTGCGGCTGGGTGTTGTACCTAATACATAATGAGCAAGATATGAAGTAAAAGCAAATCATATGCTGGACTTAATGCTTTACAATAAATACTCCCTATTTCAAAATGAAACTGAAAGGTTAATTAGACATGCTCTTACCTCTCCCTCAAATCAGAGCTTTTGTCAAAAGCTTTTTCCTTCTATATGGAATATTCAACTGACCAGTGCAAGATACAACAATATAATAAGAGTGTATGGAAAACATTATTTCCAAATTCTAGGCCCTCTTTAACATTCATCATTTACTCCAATTACTCAATATCATTTCACCTTGGAAAAACTATTTGGAACAAATTTTACAATTCATATATGATAATCAACAAACATAAGCCTAAATACTTTCATGCTGTTAGCTTATGGCCAACCTGGATGCTATGTGGTATAGTGGCCAGGACCCTCTTAAAAATGTCAGGTAGCTCAGCCATCAGCTATCACCAGCCACACCCATGAATAGGGCTAGGGTGGGCGATCCACCTGACATTTATTAAAGGGTCCTGGCCACTATACCACATAGTGGTCAGTGAGTAACAACATCTACGCACATCAGTGAAGGCCTACATCCTAAATTTTGCTCAAATTTTACAATTGTTTGGCACTTTGATTCAAAATTCTGATTTGACATCATTTTCTGTTCAACTATATAGTTAAAACCAAACTTTGAAAAGAGTGAGACCAGCACTAGTCTAATGAATGTCATTTACAATAGATCATACAAATATTTATCTTAATGTGCTTTTAACAAACCTCCAACTCCCTTAATATTGTGGCTGCATCATTTGTTACAAATAATTTTTCTAAATGATTGATGACCATTTTGTTTTGCCCTGAAAATTGAAAAAAAAAATGAAATTCTTAATTGTATAGTGTGACAAAAATAAATAAATAAATAAATAAATAAATAAATAAATAAATAAATAAATAAATGAAAATAAAATATGTATATTAAAACATAAAAAAACTAATAATGTGCAAAGAATGGCTGCTTTAAAATTTACGCAAATTTAAAATAATACATAAAAATGATATTCTAAATACCAGACCATTTGTAAACAATAATACAACATTAATTTCCCCTCATTTTGGAAAATTTGATAAAGATAAAATTTATGCACCTATATAAATACTGGTAAGTAGTGAGCTAGCAACCGACTTTCTGGAACATTCTTTACTAAAACCCAAACTAACTCTTTCTCTTTCTGAACGTTTCCTTATAAATGATAAAAATACAATTCCATACCATGGGGGCCATAGGCTGATCGCGTTGTCTTTGCTAGCTCTCCACAAGCTTCTATATTTCTGTAAACTGCTTCTTCCAAGCCTGAGTAATGCTGTATAAAAATGATTATGATTCATTCTTCAATTTTTCATGTTAAGTAGTGGATTTCAATGATCTTATTGCAACTCTATAATTCTTTATCTTGCAAATAAACCAGCTAGATGGACAAACATATTGGTTTTATTTAACGACAAGAACAATAGTTACGAATACTTAAAACGTCAAAATGCCAAATAAGGTGTTGACCATGTGCTATCTGTACTGCACGTGTTCTATTTGTTTCACCTATACAACTCCTGATAGTTTTTGTCTTATTGAGGAAATATATTAACAGCATCGACTCACACTAAATATACACATTAAATAGTGTTTAACTCACCCTGGCTCCCTCTTTAAGCATTTGGGCAAAGCCCGGGGGTTTAGGGATATGCATCGCCATTTTCAGTTGCCTTGGATGTACCTAAAACAGAGATTGGATTCATGCTTTATCATAGCTAATTTTAAACTTCAGTAATAAGTTGACAAATAAGAAAATAATATTAAGCTTTTATTTTCTAAAATTACTTTATATATATCATATTACAGGTTTAAATTGAGCAATATCAAAAAGCATTTCATGATCCGTATTATAGCAAATTTCTTTCGAGTATTTCCGTTGGTGTCACGGAAATAAACGAGAATGGTTGCGCATGTCGATTAGCTGCGGAAGACTAGTATCTTTGTAGCCAAATATCTGGACGATTCGAAGCAATTTGATTCAGTTGACAGGTGTATACTCATCGTTAGCTTTTAAAGAATATGAAGAGACGAAATGCCGAGTGCGGCAAGCTTCGTCGCCCGCTAAAAAGACCTAAGATTACAGAAGGGATTTACGGCAGGTAATAATCCATTTGTCTTGTTTTCATTTTCAATATGGCAGGAAGTCTAGTCGTGTGGTGCAACTAACCTGAATACAGTCCATACAGCGCCCGAAAACACGTTTTTGACGAACATTACGTCTTGTTTGTTATTATTCCGACTTAAGTTACTTTTGATAAGGACATCAAGTGTGTAACATCGCTGATATTAATGGCTTATTTAGATAGGTCAAGGCAAAACGTAGCCGGCTTTCGTGGAAAAATCTCATAAGACATAACTCCACCTGAACGGATGTTACCATATAACCTGTCATTTTGTGCAATGATAAAATCTTTATTTCCTATGTGAAAATTGAAACAGATCGGAATAACATTTTCCGATGAAACATTTTTCCTTCAGTGCTAGCTGTTTTAAATAAGAGCACCATAATCATTCATATCCCAGTTCACCATGGTTACGTCTTGCTAAGAGGCTTTTTAGAAAACGTTGCCATTACCGTTGCAGTTAATTGAAAGAAATTTTAAGTAATGAGAAGTTATTTGTGAAAAGAAAATATAGTAATGGATATGAAGATGGTGAAATTCCTTAAAAGATATTCCTATAAGATATTAGAATGAACTTTACAAAAATAAATGTTAACTTAATTTTTTTTACAAGTTTATGGAATGGTTGGTAGTATTGTTAAGTTTTTATAAAGAGAATCTGATCTTAAGAGATGATATTTTCATGGAGGATCAGTATTCTGAACTTAAGTCACAATGTATCAGCTAGACAACATACCATGTAAAAGATGTCTTCAATCTGTATGTTTCGCAGTAAGGTGAGCTTTCATTTAAAATCACTTAAATTATTATTTATAACACATTTCTCTTCGCACTGAACATGTCTACATTGACAGCAGGAGAGACTCATTTGAAAACAAAGAAGCTTTTTGTTCCCGGGCATATCAAAATTATATTGTAAATTAATAACAAAATTGATTTTTGCCTATTTACACCTTTGTCATGAACAAGCATTTCTGCATCAAATTGATATTTGATGAACCCTCATGATGGCTCCCATTATTTGGTCTAAGTTGAAAATAACTAAAGCTGTCTGTGATCTGAATGATTGCAATAAGCATCAAATATACAGCTAGTTCAAATACTAGTGTTGCACTAAGCACAATCTGTTGATTTCACCAGTTTATTTCTAGACTCAGTCCTATCAAGAGCTTGTTTATTGAATTCTGCTTTTACCTAACATGTTTATGAAGTCATGATTTGGTCTTTTAATATATGGATTGAATCACTGCGCTTATTATTAAAGATTTACTTCACAGCATATAATGTATTTTCACTATTTCATTTCGATATTCATTTAATGTATCTTCTGTATATTGAAATTTCAATCCTGAATAGGCCAATTTAAAATCTAAATGGAATGAATGTTTCCTTGTATGAACTTCAGAACTTGACTATCTTTATTTCACTATTTGGAATTTTTCAAAAATATACTGCTAGAAGATTGCTTTTTGTATGATTTTATGGAGGATGCATTCTTAAAGATATACCAAAGCAATCGGGCATAATTTCTACTAAGGCAATCCATGCTCAGCTTACTTTTCATGCAAATATTTCTTGTGCCATTAGCTGAAAATCACCATTATCTGTAATATGGCTTTGTGAATAGGGTGCATTTTATTCTGTTACTATGGCACTATAGGTTTGCTTCCCTTGCAGTCATATTTTTTAGTTCAATGGTTTTGATTTATATCGAGTCATTTCATGTGAGATGCACGATGTGTCACTATGTTATTATATCTTATAAGTGCCTTTCTCCTGTATGTTGGCAATATATTGACAGCACACACTAATCCGTTTAAAGCTGTCTGGAACAAAGGAAGCAAGCAGCGTTGATATTAGCATATATGAAACAATTAATTTAACCAGCCATCCTTAAGTGCCAATATGAGAGTTGATATCTCAGTGTCATCTCAGTCTGCATAGCAAGCAGATGTATAATTGTAATTAAACTTATATCATATATTCATGAAAAAAGAGCCACATAAGGTTACCTTGATGAAGCTGTGTCTTATTCAGTAAAGAATATCTCAGGGTGAATGCTTTGTCTTTGTGGCAATAATGAGGAAAGTCCTTAATATTTAGAACTAAAGTCATGTTGATGAGCAAATCCTTATTAGCCACTGATTGTATGAAACTTATAGGTTAGAACTATAAAATTAAACAGTTTGATATGTTTGATTTTAAACTCCAAACGAAAAATAATGTTGATACAACACATGCAACTGTTCTTTGAAAGTATATTTATTAGGTCTTTTTAAGGAGAAATAGTGGGTCAATAATAATTGTGTCATTGTTCAAGTCACAGCTCTAGATGAAACAACATTTGTTACTGTACATAGTTTCCTGATTGATAATAACAGTAATGACAGGTTGGTTGCTTGTATGTGGGTTGTTGAAGTGCATATGGATGGCTTTGACATAATCAGGGATGTTATATTGCAGATGTCAGGCAACATCATTTAAGAGTGCTGCTTGCTGCTAAAAAAAATATTGGTAATATCAGTGTGACTCTGGATGTGATTGAATTGGTTCTGATACTTGTTAATTATAGATTTTACACCTTAGTGGGCAGATTTTCAGGTGGCAGTTTAGGCACAATGGGATCTTTCTTTCTGGCATAGAGATAGAGGCCCTTTTCAGACACTAAAATTTGAATTGTGTACTTTAGAACTGTATTTCTATTACCATGCAATCTTTTTAGACAAAAACATTTTGATAACACTGCATTCAAAGTTTTTTTTTTTTTTTTTTTTTTGCTATGTTCTGTGAATTTAAAATTTTCATGCAAATGTCAGGTTAATCATAAATATACTGGATCAGTGCCACACTTTTACACCCATTTTGACAGTTCAGAAATACTTTCGTATGTCAGGTACATAGAATATTTATCATTAACATTTAATTTTGTGGTTTGTTTTTATCATTTTATGATGATAGTAATTGTAAGCATAGAGGTCAGGCCAGAGAGGGGAAATAAAACAGTACTGTTATGTAGACTTCTTTTAAGATCGGGTGAATTTTTTGTTTATCCAACACGGGTGAATGGTGTTTTGATCATTTACTACCTAATATTTTAGGAAAAAATGTCATTTCTTAATTAGATTTTTTTCTTATCTTAAATCTTTCTTTGGACAAAGGCATGCATATTATTTTTTTTCATAAATTTTTCCTAATTTTTTCGTCATTCATTGGAAAATCGCTCTGTACGTCATTTACTGTTACCTGAAAAACCTGATTGTGGAGGAGTATTTATTACAAACTGAATGTTCATGGTTGCAAAACTTAATTATAAGATTTAACCTGTATCGCAGTATACATTGACCTCCAGTTATTTATTTATTTATTTATTTTTCATTACAGTGCTTTCCTGTACTTGAAGTTTCTGATGGTCTGGGGTCTGGTCCTGATGGCGGACTTCATTTTGGAATTCCGATTTGAGTACCTCTGGCCTTTCTGGTTGTTACTTAGGAGTGTACATGATTCTTTTAAGTACCAAGGACTGGTAAGTATTAGTAGAAGCCACAAACTACTTACCAGCAGTATCAGGTGGCCGTTAATTATTTGCAGTAAAAAAAGAGATTGTTATTATTTATTCTTATACTGCCTAGGTTGCCAGAACATGAAGTGCAGAACAGTGCCAAGCTGAATAAACCTACTTTGCCAAAGGCACAGATTTTCTGAAAAATTGGGTAGTCACGCTTAAAATTGTCTATTTGGCTGGATATCTTTAGGTTTAAAAGTGGGGATACTGTGCAGTTAAAGCAATGAAAAAACTGCTGTTAATATAAATGTCAAGCTTTTGACTAACCACCTTAATTGATTGGCTCAAATTAAGTAGGAGAAAAGGTGCACCTATGCATTTACTGAATTGGATGAACAGTAGATCTCAACAGTAAAGATCCACTTAATATGGCTTCAAGCCACCTACCCAAGGCTAGAAGCATATATAGATTTTGCTTTTCAGGATGTTCAGGTACAGACATGGTATTTATGTAATAACCTGCAGGTTGAGCGATAACCTTTCCTACCTCTTGTAACATAGGCATTGTCTCATGCATATTAGTAAATTGATTTTGTATGTTAATGTATGTGATTTATATGCAGAAGGTTACCTGCCCATAAAGTACTTATGGTGATGGTTTTGTACACAATTGGACACTGTGCTATCTCAGGTAGGGTATATGTAAGGTATTATGCAAATGTGACAGAAGGAAGATGCAATTCCCAACATCAGTGGATATAAATAGCAAGTTATTTTATTATGGAAAATTGAAAGCATTGAATCTCTTTGACAGCCATGTCATAATTCAAAGCATGGAGTTATCCTTAAAGACATCAAATAAAACATGTGGGACCTACAGCTTGGCAAGGTGAATGTGGATGGGTATTTTTCACAAATGTGGAATGATTTATCACTTTACTTCTTTCTATCTCTCATTCAAAAGTGCAAAAGTAACACTGACTACTACAGAAACCATCTGTAGGCAAAGGGTGTTAAAGATGAGAGTGACGGAGAATGTTGCTGTATAAACAAAAACATGACACTTCAGGAAGCTGCTCTTCAGAAAAGCCATGGAATTTTAGTAGAGTCAGAAATGTTAGTTTCAAGCAAAATGTTCCTTGTGGCTTAAAGAGCAAATGTCTTAAAAGTAATTTCACAAAATGGACTAGATAATATTGCAGATGAGCAGCAGTAAACATAAAGTAGCACCATTCAGTTGGTCTGTACAGTTCTCATGCTTCTTCCAACATTATACATTCCTTGTTCAGACCATTTGGCTTTTGCTCTTATTCCATTTGTCTCTGTATTATGCATCTGATAAATTACATTATTTTTAGTATGACAAACTTATTAACTGTGCAGAATAGAAATTGCCAATTTGTCATTGGTTTGGTTAATTGTATCTGCTGTGACAAGTTGATTGTGAACAGCCTTATTATTGCTGACTTTGGAGCTACCAGGTCTAGACATAGGGACCATTCTCACAGATATTTGGAACGATCTGTCTCCCTGGGGAGTCTCACTAAATTGCTGTTAAACTAACTGGCTTAAGCCTCTGTCACACTTTGATCGCATTCACAATGAGTTGAGCCATGGCTTTACCAATCCTGGAACTAAATATGGCAGACGTACATGAAAGAAAAAACACGCAATCTTTTAATAGTCTCTCTGCCTCTCACCCCCCCCCCCCCCCATGCATCATCCTTGCGGGGGTATGGTCATTAAATCTCGGCTCCATTGGGAGCTAATAGCAATTTAGCGTGAACCCCTAGGGAGTTAAGTCGATCCAAATGGATCGATCTAAGTATGGAAACCCAGTCACAGAGCAGACTGTGAAGGCTTGAACACTACCCCTACAGTGAATTTATTACAAAACATTTGAATTTATCATATTATATGAAGAATATGTGTAAATTTTGCGTTTAATTTATGAAATTTGAAATTTTCTTTGAAACCTGTTTTAAGGTGTTTAAAAATGTCCCAAAGTTGTAATTTTTTACAGCAAAGCTTTTCATCATTTCCAATTCAGACCTTGGAAAAAAAGCATTTATAAAATCATCAGTTTAGTTTTTAAAGTCCTTGCAAGGTCCAAACCATGGCATTATCCAAGACAATACTAATTTCTTTTGTGTTATGAAGTGAAAACTAAGCCAATCCTGTTGTTGTGCAGTTAGTTTATTGTTAATGTCAGAAAGGATGTTTTTAATGACTGGCCAGTCCTTTCTAACTAAACTATTTAATTATAAAGAATGTATAAGACCCCATTCCCATACCTAGATTGATCTAACAGGATCAATTCATCTCCCAGGGGCTTCTCGCTAAATTGCTTTCAGCTTAAGCGGCTTATATGTCTGGCAAGCCTACTGAAGCTGCTAAACAATAGTTAATTACCACCTTACCGCTTCAGTAGGCATGCCAGACATCTAAGCCGCTTAAGCTAAAAGAAATTCAGCAAGTAACCCCCTCAGAGATGGATCGATCCTGTTAGATCAACTTAGGTGTGGGAATGGGATTTAAAACATTCATTCCAAGTGCAAGGACGGGTCAAGCAATGATTGTGAGCAAGAAAAAAATTTTTTCTGGGGGAAAATTTGATTGGCAAGAAAGTCCCTCATAGGATTCCTTAAATATTTAATACAGTGATAACCAATAATGGAACATTTGCAAAATTATGCTTTGAAGTCCAGATAAAGAAGGATAAATTGCACAAAACTTCTCTTTTACAGTCTGTTGATCTGTTAGCAGTTGTCCCTCGTTAATCAAAGTGCACATGCTACTTGACTTGGGTGTTTGTGACAGGTAACATTTCATATAGTTGTGTGTTGCATGTTAGCAACACCGGTCTCTTGGACATCATTTCTCATGTGAATGTTTACCATTTTTGTCAGTCTGTTACACAGGTGCAGTACAAATTGGTCTTAAGATGAATCGAAAATCTAATTATGATTTAGAATGTGCTTGATTGCTGTTTTTAAGAGGGAGAGCAAGCAAAATGCTACTTTACATGTTTTGTGGTGAATAGCTGAAAGAAAAAAAAGATAATTTGCATTTTGTATCTTTGTTGACAATTTATGGCCATGCTCTTTCAGTTATAGAACTCTCTGTTGATTCTGATAATCCCTTGAAAAAGATTGGCTTTTTAGCAATATGGTCCATGTTTTATTCAGTAGAATGTGTTTGCTTTGTTGACGTTTTTTATTACACAAACATTAGTATGGTTGATCTACTGGGATGTTTGTATTTCCTGGTGACCCAGTGACCTTTACAGGTAAAACACAGTTGATGAAATTGTATCCTCTAAAAAAGAAGCAAATACTATGGTCTTTCAATATATACAGTCCAATCCAGCCCAAACAAAGCTTTGGCGAACCAAATAAATGACATTGTAGTAAAAAGTGATTGAAACCATTTCTTCAGGAAATATCTTGCAGCAAAGTTTCAATTACACACTAGTCTTCTTATTGCACTGTATCACTGAGTGGTTCTTAAGAATCCTGCTGGATGGGCTAGGTGTGTTCATGTGCTCATATCATATTGAAGATGTGTGTGTATATGAAAGCTAGGGCCGCCTCCAGAATAACCTTGAAAGTTGCCTAGGTTAAGGTCGTGAAAATGTTGTTTACCTCAAATGATGTTGAGTGTTACATAATTTACGAAAGAGAATAATTTTTATTACATCAGCATCAGATTTTTTTCAAGGAAATATTGAATAGGTGGAGGGGTTTTAGTTTTTTATCTGGCCCTACCACATTCTTTTATATGATTTGGTAATCTCAGGGAATGATATTCTGACCCAGTCAGGTCCATGTTTTTTGTTAAGACATATTGAACAGATTAAAACCACATCAGGATTTCATATTTGATTGTTTAACATACTGACCAGTTATTATTCGCTAATAGAAAGTCTTTGGAAATTGGTCTAGGGCATAAGGTAGAAGAATGTGTAGTTTTGTTTGCATTGAATTCTTCACGGTAAGGTGGAGATTCAGTATTTCTATTGGTGGTGAGTATTTTAGAATAAGTACTGTTTGACCTATGATAAAAATTGTAAAATTTAGTACAGTCTTGATTCACATGCAAAGTAGTTAAATTTACCAAGCTGTGTGGAAAAGTGCAGGCCTGTGGCTATTGGAATGAGATTGAAAACCCTGACATTGGGGATTCAAGCTTAATAATGATGGTGATTAAGTTGTTAAATGGCTCGTTTCTTTCCCCCCCCCCCCCCCTCCCCCAACCTTTCCCTCCTTGAAAGCCGTACCTGGTGTTTTCAATTTTCAAAAGTAGGCCCACCTGCCTGGGTAATACCAATGTTTTGCTTAGTTTGTCGCCTTAGTCTTCCCAGTATTACATTCACAATCGGGTTCTGTGGATTAAGGAAAAAGATACTCTGCACCAGTGGCTCTGCGTTGATAATGCGAAAGATGATTTGCTGTTAAATCTGATTTCGGTATTGTAGGAAGAATTATTTCATCATTTATGATATCACTTTGCTTCAAAACAGTAAAAGTGAATCATGAAAGCAAGTGCAGCAGCTGATATAAGTTTTGGGATGTGTCCAGGGTAGATTTTGTTGCACTGATAAAGATATGATATTGTCACAAATATGGATAAATAATATGATAATGACCCAAACTGCTACCATAGTTTATTTTTAGTGACTTGCATTTATCTTTCCTTATCATAGTTTGTCTTTGTTTTAATAATGATGATTCATGATTTTTGGGTAGTATTGCATTTTGGATCATGTTATTTGGTTAATAAAAGACTAAATTGACTGAAGTACACGTATTAACCTGAATTGCCCTGAACAAATGGTTTGTCGTGAGATGTAAATCTGATAATTAGTACCACCAGCGTGTACGCTGGCGATACTCATGGTTTTAGTCCCGACCCGTCTCGTACGGCTCCTGCGGCTCCGCGTTCTGGCGCCGGATACAAGTCACCGTTACCGCTTCTCCTCCTAGACTGCAAGGACCCGTGTCCCCATCTCTTGGCTTTAGGTCACATATAATCTCAACTTGAACCCCCTGTTTTTTTTGTCTCAATTGGTGTCATGGCCTGGGCGTGGCACTCGTTGAAATGCACCCTTGTCAAAATTTTTGAAAATTCAATGCCAAATATCTCCCAAACTGAAGGAATTATGGGAAAAATTTCTATAGAAGTCTGACCAAAAGTCATATGTGAAGATTCCAAATGTGCCCTTGCATTTGACCTTTGACCTTTATTTCAAGGTCAAATGGGCCAAAATTTTCAAAAAAATGGGAATTTTTTGCAAAAAAAATATTTGTTTCTGCCAGTTTTCAGAAACTACACAGACCTAAGCTCTCATATTACAGTGGTGGGTTACAATTAGGGACTTCTTTCATTTTCAAGAGTTTGGGGTCAATCAGTGCATTTTCACGGGGGAGACAGCCATTAGAAAATCTAATGGCAAAACTGAAAACTCTCCCTAATTCTCAAACCAAAAGTGCTGTAGACCTATGGTTTTTTGCATTTTGTAGAACTTGATAAGCGCAATACTGAAGGTGATAGACTTTTTTTTAATTTCGATATGGTTTAGGCACTATATCAAAAAGTACAATGGTGCAATATTCAGTTGTGAAAATAAAATGTGAAATACTCTAAAATTGGCAGAGATATGCCCATAGTTACTATTGAACTTGAATAGGAAGTCATATACTGGCAATCTAACTGTGACTGTGAAATGGACCTTTGACCTACTTTTCACCGTGAACTGAGTTTTCCGTTACGTCTCCAAAACTGGTCTATCAAACCATTTTTACAAAGGTTATGCAGTTTTTCGCTTCTTTTGGCATATTTTAAGAACTGGTTTATTGCATTTAGTTTTGTCAATCACAGCACAGGTGGTAGTGGTGGTGGTGGTGGCGCTTACTCCAGCTGGTGGTACAATATCCAGAGGCGGTATCGCCTCTCTGATCCTCTAGTTGTAGTAGTTATTATTAAGCCTTTGGTTTTGAAATATACTATCTTATGTTTTTTTTTTTATCTTTTGATTTTATTCTAATTTGGAGTTTGCAATTTATGTCTTGAAATCCATTTTAGATTACTAGTAATTATGTCAGTTATATATGTTGCATCCTGAAGTTAAGATAACTTTCAAATCAGCATTGATTGATAGAAAAGGACATAATTATATACATTCAATCTTAAATGTTTATTGAATAGTATATATGACCTTTGACAACTTTTTTTCTTTCCAGGCATTTTCCATTTTCTTCGTCTGCATTGCCATTACCTCGGATGTTGTCTGTTACCTGTTTATCCCAGTACAGTGGCTGTTCTTTGCCGCCAGTACATATGTATGGGTTCAGTATGTTTGGCATACAGGTAAGTGAAATAAATGAAATTTGGAACATAGAAGAAGTTTTGGTGGCTATTCAGCTTCAAGGGCAAGAGAAGAAGATAAAACCTCACCTGGTTTTGTGCAAAAACCTTAAAATACTGATGAATGGAACATACCCCTCTTCTTCCCCCCCCCCCCCCCCCTCAATCACGCACACACACATTGAATATATGAATATGACATTCAGAAGTCAGATATTAAATACCAAGTCTGAAGAACTGCTGTTCTAGCACGAAAATATTTGTTGTAGGTTTTACCACAGCCTGTCTAACTCTCTTGAGAAAAAGCACATGGATTTGATCACGACAATTATACCTTACAATTTGAAGTTCAAATGCAAGAAGTTCAAGGAAACCTTGTGTCAAGCATATCTGTAGCCAATTTGGAAGCATTTGAATGAGAGCCCTTTATGTTTACCTTTGATAATTTCTTGAAGTATAGATAAATATATATTTAAATGTAACAGACTTGGTGATGAATGGCATACTTCATTTCCAACTCAATACCTTGCAATCATGAAAATACTTTATGGTACTCTAAGGTCACTGATAAATCGATTATTGGGATGCAAATGATTTTACAACCAAGGAAATGCACCCATAACTGAGACAGCAGGAAAATTTGGAAGTGGTCTTGTTTTTCATCCTCACAGAACTACGTACAATTGCTTTAACGGGTTTATGTTGCTAGAGGACTTGCTGCCTTGATAGTTTAGTCAAATTTGGATAGTCTGTATGTGAAGTCTTTATAGTGTAAAGATCTTCAATTTGAATTAATTTAGTTGTCCTATTCTGTGTCAGGTTGGCTCCAGTTTTTTTTCCCCAGAATAAAAAAATTTGATGTTGATTTAATGCATGTCACTCTTACTGATAATGTCATAAAGAATGATATGTGATCAGGCCAGTTGATTGCATATATATACAGCACTTGCACTAATTACAAAATTAGATTACAGGTTGGAGTGCAGCTTGAGGGTATCCCAGTTTCCCCACAGAAAGCATTTATTTTCTTCATTTTTTACATCATCCAGGCAGAGTTCTGAAATTCATTGAAGATGTACCTAAAATATACTCTGTTTGAAGATCATTTTGCAGATATTCTTTACAAGTTTAGGTGTCATTTAATTCATAGCATTCACACATGTACAGCTTATTATATGCCGTACCTACCATAATAGACCAGTAAATATGCAGTGCTGATATAACTACTGATTTATTGGCACAGCATCAATAAACTGTGGCAATGCATATTTTACATAATGTTTGAATGCATGTGTGATGGTGTGAAGACTACTACAATACCAAATTGAAAGTGAAAATCGGGCCCAGTTTCATAAAGGACAGTTAGCACTAACCAGTGTTTAAGTCTAACCAGTGGATAAATTCTCCTAACACCCATTAACTAAACGACGGTTGAAATTGTGTTTCATAAACAGTGTTTAAACAGCCAGCTGACGTTTAAATATTTTATTCAGCTTTTTGAACATTGTTTATGAAACACAATTTTAACCATCTTTTAGTTAATGGGTGTTAGGAGAATATATATCCACTGGTTAGGCTTATAGACTGGTTATATATGTAGTGCTAAACGTCCTTTATAAAACTGGGCCCAGATCAGTTATCAGTTTTCTTGATTATTCACCAAAGTCATGCAATGAGTGATAGGTCTTCATACTGCCAAATGTGATTTTCCAGGAAATTTGGACACTTTTCCCTTAATATCAAGACATAATCTATAACTGTTTATCAAATTCATACATAATCCACATTTTAATTAAACAGCACTAATTAACACCTCATGACTTCACAATAATACCTGATTATAATTAGAGTAGAAAAGCCTGATTAAATCCGCTCTAGTTGGATTACTTTGTTGCTACCTTGGTCACCTGCCTATCAGGTGTCTTAATACCTAGTCCACCCTGGACTTTGTTAATAGTTGGTTAAATCAGTAAAAAATCTCCTCATACAGATGAAATCTTGACGCGTTATCTACAGTGCTTTAAATTGCATGTGGTCACAAGTTACATCAGGTGACAAGTGTATTATCCACATAGTGTGGGTTTTGGTGGACTTTCTCCATGCATTTGTTATGGTACTCAAGTCGCAGAACAGACTGAATTGGCAAATTTTTATGAAGCCTAAAATGTTGGGATCGCACTTTTTAGGTTCTTTCATTCTGCCATGTGTTTGGATATGGAGGTGATAATATAATAAGTCTGGCATTATTAAGTATTAGTAATCTGTCCAGGGGCTTTCCTCATTGTGTTTGGATGTGGCGACATAATAGATCTGGAGTTATACAGCTGTAGTAATCTGTCCAGGGACTTTCCTCTTCTTAATTAACAAGGTTGCTATCCAAGAAGCTCTGGTGTTTTATTATATCAAGGCAAATTTAAGGTGTGATGTGGTAAATGATAATGTGCATGTTGTTGTGTATGTCATGACAGCATGAACAGATTTAATATGAACCAATTTGTTGGAAATAAGCTTAATGATGCCTTGGCAGTCCATAGCATGTCGTGGACGTTTCTTGGATTAATCATATGACTTGAGGTTAAATATTTCTTTTAAAAAATTAATCATCTTAGTGAAATGAATGTAGTGGGAGTATTGTTTACTTTATTTATTGTTTCTTTTAATTTCAGAGAGGGGGATCTGTCTTCCCACTGTCTCACTATGGCTTCTCTTTGTCTACATTGAGGCCTCAATAAGATTAAGGGAACTTAAAAGTCTACCATTCAACTTAGACCTCTGTCGGCCATTTGCAGCTCATTGGTAGGTAGATTTCTCCAGTTTGGTTACACTATCCATATTGTGTCACTATTGCTCCCAGTAGTGATAGCATTCCAATTTTGATTGCACTGTGTCCAGATTTATATCAATAACAGTATCCACAGTAGCCTTATTAATTAATATTTATATAAATGAATAGATTTAGTGTCTGTCAAGTGCAGGGCTGACACATTGTCTGAAATTGATTGTGAAATGTACCGGATGAATTAACAGTAGCCTTTTGATTTCAATCTCATGGAAGTTGCATGCACACCACAGGTGATATTTTTATGAAGTGTTCATATTGCAAGCTTAGTGATTAATACATGCAGTGGCTTTACAAGATAATGTGTCATTTAAGCCACACTTTATAGATTTTGTCACAGCTTTTAGCTTTGATCAGTACAGGTGTTTTTGCCTCTTTAAGTGATATTAGTAATGTTAAATTAATAAGTTACCCCAAAGAAGTAGGGATTTTTATGGAAAAATAACAAGAAAAAATGTATTGACAAGCATGGTATTTGGCATATGTAGTGAATGTGACTGTTGCATTGTTTCATAATGTGTTATATTTCTATTTCAGTATTGGATATCCTGTAGTGACACTTGGTTTTGGCTTCAAAAGTTATATATCTTATAAACTAAGATTGGTGAGTATGATTCTGTATAAGTGTCTGTAGAATGGCAACGCTAATCTCGTGCTGCGTAGAAAATCTCATTAAACCCACTACTGAATTCCATGCCTTACTTTAGCCTTAACCTTTACTTCATACAGTTACCTATGCATTACTTACGGTAATTATTCATTAAAATAGAATTAAGTTAATTAATAGTTTATTCCAAAACAATGTTTGTTAGCAATACTTAAAATTGTTGGTTTGATAATCCTGAAAACTTGGCTGTATGTCAGAAAGTACATTTTGCAAGAAATTAAAAATGATAAATCTTGATCAGTTGAGGTATTGAAAAAAGTGGTGTTTGAAAATTTGAAGTAATTACCGTATCATATGTTCTGTAAATGTTAGAAATTGCATAACATTGTATGTGACATAACATGTACAGATAGAAAGACATGAGATAATCAGTTATCCATGATGCATAGCCTGTAATTTGCAAGGCATATGTTTTGGTTTTTCTGAGTAACAGTAATGGCTTCTAAAGCTGAGATATCTTTGTGGTGTCAAGAGTGTAGGAAACCAACAGTCTTTTTGAAATAGTAATTCATGTATGCATCCACTCTATATTAAGTGTTGTTTACATTTTCTAAGAACGGCGTAGAATTCTGGTAAATTCTGTGTTGCTAAGAATTTTGCCAATAGCTCTTGAAAAACATGATGTTAAGTAGGTATTTCTTGGCAATTTCAGCGTAAACAGAAAGACGTCCAGGCGGATAATGATTTTTATATGCAGCTACTGCGAAATGCTTTACCCCCTGAGCAGCAAAATGTCATACCTGCTGCTGAAAAAGTAAAAGGTGAGCCCAAGTGCAAGTTTACCACTGAGGTTACCCTTGCACAATTCTGTTGAGAGTTGCATAAATCTGTTGAAAAAAACTTTTAGAACTGTATATATTTATATTGACTCAGTTTGATGAGAATCTGTCGCGAAACTTTTTGAGTAAATGCATTTAATCATGTCACTATGATGTGTAAACTATACCAGTCATTTGACTGAAAAGAAAATGAAATGCTTTACATTGACAGGATTTCCTAGAGGAATTGGTTTCCTAGAGGAATTTGATTTGGAAAATTTTATTGCTTCTTGTATTTCAGCATTACCTAGTAAAGAGGAAGTAATCTCCAATGGTGTGACACATGGAAAGAAAACACAGGTTACATCCAACAACAGCAGCAATTCTAGTAGCAGCAAAACAGACACCACAGATAGCAAGCAGCAACATATAGAAGATTTTGAATACATTGAACAGAGTCCATCAAAAAGGCCAAATGTCAATGACTACGATGAAAGTGTGGAAAATTACATAAATGACCAGCACGCAAAAGGATATAAAGCAAATGGCGTCACAAAAACGAGTAGCAAATTAAATTCCTCCAAAGATAATGTTGTTTCCAGCAGTTCGAAAAAAGGAAAAAGTACGAACACGTCTAAAGATAGTTCCACAACAAATAACAGTGTTCCCCTAGACAAGGATGCATCCTTGAATAGGTTTGTATTTCATTTTTCAAATTTGAATCATAAAAGAGACTTTTTTAATGTCGTCTGAAGCTTTGCAGTGATGTCTTAATTCATACTTGGTATTCATACCTTTAATCAAGTAGTGGAGCAACTAGAAATTATTTGAGCAGAAACTAATGTGATTTTTTTTCCCCAAAAGGCCATTATAATCCCTGTCCAAACTTAACGGATTTTAATTTGGACTTCATCATTGATGTTATTTTCCTGAACCAAACAGCAGTTCGTTTTTAATAGTCCAAAGAATAATGATATATTTCTCAGGTTGGAAAGCGATGTTAAAAAGTTGAAGGCTGATCTGCAGAGCAGTCGAAACACAGAGCAGGAATTGCGATCACAGATTAACACATTACTCATCGCAGACAAACACACAAAAAGTGAGATGAATCAGCTACGACAGGATAACGAACAGCTTCAGGCAAAGTAAGTGGTTAGGTATGGAGACTTAAGCAAGAAGAACAGTGGTAAAATGAGAGAAATGATGTTGTCTAGAACCCATTTTACGTAAGAAATGCCTACCAATTATGAAAATGTGATGTCTGAATGTTCACTGGATTTTCCTGTATTCTAATGAGAAAATGTAATGAATTCATTGGTGGTCTGGTTATGAAACAGAACGCACAAAAGGGTCTTTCACATGCTCAGTCGTGTCTCCATTTTCTTGCTTGGTTTTGAAATGTGTAAAAACTAATTGAACCAAAAAGAGTATCATGCAGCTCGTGGGATGTTTTGTGCTGTTATGTTAGCCATTTTAAGTGAAATCAGTATCTTTTCTTTTGTTAAGGCTACACAATCTGGTCACCAGTCGACAACAAGACAAACAGAATCTTCAGTTGTTGGAAAAGAAACTCCAGGAAGAACGCAAACAAAAGGCGGTCATAGAGACACAGCTAGCTACAGAGAGGAAGGCAAAAAAGGCTGAGGAGGCGGCAGCAGCACGGGCTGTGGCAATTGCAACTTCAACAAGGTGATTACCTATTTATTTGGAGTGTTGGCTCTGGCCTGAAAGATGCAGTTTTATGGAAACACCTGTGCAGCCATTGATAAAATTACACATCAAGGATCCAACATTACATTTGTTTATGTAAAAAAAGACAGATCTCTTCAAGTGTATTTTGTGCTTAAAATGTTTTGACAGATGGAGAACAACACTTATCAGTGGCATTTCAAATGGATTACTCAGGATTTTTTCTACTCAGTGAAATCATTTTACCCTTTAACGTTACATATTTGATGTTAAATCATGTGGATAAGACAAGAAAACCTGTGTAAGAAATTTAAGCTACCATTTGTCAGTCAGTTGACTTAATTTGTCTGCTGACACACCCAAGTTTTTGCCAAAAAAAAAAAAATCTTGTTCTTTGGTTTGAATTTAATTAAAATTAGAGGTGTGTGAAATCTCTAGCACATATGTCATCCAGTTGTAAATACATCGTTGTGACAATATTGTCTGTTTTAGGGTTGAGTGCACAGAAAATTGCAAGGCACGTCGAAGAGATCTAGAAAATGATGTGAATCAAATACACAGGGAGTTAAAATTGAGAGAAGACCAATACAGGCATTTGGAGCAAGAGAACCGGGTAATTTTTTCCCCCCACTTTTAAGTCTTAGTAATTAAAAAAAAATAACTGCTTTGGAAAAAATGAATCACTAAAAGGTTTAGAGTAGCTAACTATCAGCTGGTGTATTCTGAGACTAAGACCAGTGTTTGCTCATTGATTTCATTTTAGATCTGTAATACACACATTTTATGTTATGTATTTTCTTTTCAGTCCCTCCGCCAATACAAAGATGTTCAGAATGAGACAGAAGTCTTGATGTCTGCACTCGCGGCCATGCAGGACAAGAACTCTCATCTGGAAGGCAGCTTGAGTGCAGAGACAAAGTTGAAAATGGACCTTTTCTCTGCCCTTGGAGAAACTAAACGCGAGGTGGAAATTCAGAGAGGTATGTGTAAGCAGAGTCAGCATTGTTTGCCTCTTTGGTGTAAAGAACTTTTTAAGGACTTTTTTCTTCAAGTTGCTACTCACTTTCTATAATAAATATTTAACTGTTCTTTTATGCATTATAAATGAGTTGGGTGCTTTTAAGATATTTAATGCCTGAGTATTTAAAATGGTAAGAAGTTAATTCATACAATATTATTCACGAAAATGTCTGCTATTTTTCAGAGTACATCAACCAAAAGGAGCGTGACATCAAAGAGCTTAAGTCCCGCATTGCAGAAGTCATGGCTCTCATCCCCTCCACATACTCCAACGGCTCGATTCCAGCGCGATCTGAAGCAAATTATTTTGCAGGGGGCGGCGGTGACTTCACAGGCGGTGAGCGCCATCTTGCCAACAAGTCCAGCCTGAACCCCCACGCTGCTGACTACACTCCTGTCAGCACCCCAGAATTCACACCTGTCAGTAAATGAAATGTCGTCTGCTCGGAAATTGGAACACTGGAATCTGATCTGAAGAAAACAGGATGGTCTCAATGATAAAATTTTGTTTTCTAAACAGTACCAGACTTTGGTATTTGTTTCTGATAATTTTTTTAATTTTTTTTTTATTTTTTATTCCATTGGATCTCCTCGTCTTCTTGATTAGTCATTATTTTTGTTTAAAATAATGGAAAGAGGGAGGGTGCTAGTAACATCAAGGAAATGAAAAATAGTAAGATACTATTGCTATGGTATTATAGGTTGTCAAGTATTAGATTATGCCATGATAAGTTTTTGATGTATTCAGCTTATGTCAGCTCTGGTTGTCTGTACCCATGCCATATCACCACAACTGTCCTTGTGAAAAATGGTCTTAGAATTAAAATCACCACTGCATTAAGGTTAAGAGTTCAAATTTTATTCCAAATCACTTGTCTGTTTTGGAAAATTCATAAGTTTTTGAAAATAGCTTGCAGTTCAGTCCTACAGTTAGTGATACACAATTCAAACAGCACTGAAGGATCTTTCATTTATATTTCATATAACTGTACTTTGTCAATATAATTTATTTACAGTTCATGTTATTTGTTGTTTAACCTTTTCTTTTGTTGTTTGTAGTATTGTTGTAGAAGTAATACCTTGGATTGTGGTTAGCTGTTGTATTGGTTAAAACTTTTTCTCTGTAATTTAATTCTTATGTTACAAAGGATGGATCTTGACTGAATAGCAGCACTTAAATAAGTCAAATAAGAAGAGTGCTCATTGGGTGTTGTGGGTACTACTGTAGGTCATTATGAGTATAAGTAAACTTTTAAGACTACAGACTAACCCTTAAGTACTTTAATGAAGAAAAAACAAACTGCTTTTATTCCAAATTCTGAATGGTGCAGTGCTTACAGTAAATCTACCTGATAATTTAGCCGTATATTTGTTCCGATTTTCAAAATTTAAGTTGAAATTTGACTAAATCCAGGAGATTTTTCTCTTCCATTTAATTCAATTGAAGTTCTGATTTTCAATTTATTCCCTTTGTCAATTTTTGTTTGGAATGAAGGGAAAGAACTGGGCATGAAACCCCATTATGACCAGGGCAAATTGGAAAGTTGGAAGTAAGAGAAAAAAAAAGATTTATTCAGAGTACAAAAGCTTCACATCATGTGATTTGACATGGGTACAGACTGGATTTGATGTTTGCTGTATATCATTGGGTCAGTTGAGGCATACATATTACGCTTGATAGTTTTGTGTGTTACAGGCCGAGTTTAAAAAAGGCCAAATGTACTATTACTACTTCCTGGTCCGCCAGAGACATGACAGGCCATCATCAAAGTTGTCTATTTTTGCTGTCATGATTGAAAAAAGTGGATGCTGTTTATTGGTAATAAATGGCAATAGAAACTGCAGTTGTTCATGCAAACATGGTGTTTTTGTGATTTTTGAAGTGTTTTGAGTTAAACAAATGGTGAATAGATGAGTATGAACACATACACTTTCTCAGAAATCTGTCAAATATGATGAAGGCAAAAAAGAAATGTGAAATGCACCAACTAAAACTCAAAAAAATAATTTGATGTATTAGAACCTGGCTTTTTTTCACACAAACCATATCAACGAAAGGATTACATTGATTGCCATGAGGTTATTACCTTGAAGCAAATGTGATTAGTGCAGTTGAAAAGTCATCCATTTTTATTGTGACATAAAGCAGTTTGAGCTTACTCCTTTCAGTTTTCTGTTAAAATGAATCATTGGCCCAAAAATTTTTCATGCTCAAGTTGTCATCTTTGAATAGTCAGGATACTTGCAGATTTGTCAACAGAGGCAACATTTTGTGATTGCCACTTGCCTTTTGTACCCTGTCTGCTAGTTTTGTTTCATGATACCTATGAGTTTATCATACAGCACACTGGGGGCGTCCATTGCCCAGATGAAGTCCATGTGCTCCCATTGGGGAATTTCTTGCGATACCTTGATGTTTGGCAGGAAAGGCACAAGAGTGTCCTGTACATCCTGCAAATGGACAGAGATGTTCAAAATTTGCAACATGTTGGGACTATTTTTGTACGCAAACTCCAAAACCCCCTACCTATCGCCACATAAGTACAGTTATGTAATTGGATAGAAAAAACGAAAGTGAAATTCTTTCAGATCCACTCAACTTCAATATTTTGCAAGACAAAATTTATCTTTTCCTACTATCATACCGATAACATAGAAGTTTGCCTGATCAGAGAAATTGCTAGAGACCTCCAAATTGGAAGAACTTGCATGAATGTGTACATTAAGTGAGATAAGATGAGATGAGATAAGACAAGAGCAGTAACAGTGATTGAACTATCACAAAATGATAACAATTGGCTTCAAGCCGAGATATTTGCACATCAGAAGTATGTGAAAAAGAGAGCCATTGCCTACCTGTGGGTCAGCTAGCCAGTCATTCTGCCCATAATACAAGTATGTGGGAGCCTGTGCTTTTGCAGGGTCATATTGGGGGGCTGAAGACTTGAAACAAACAAAAGTTGCTGAATTGAAATAACATTTAGAATTGCCAGTCATTTAGAACTGAATTATAAATTTAAAATGTAATAATGAATGAAATCCAAGTGCAGGGGCAGGTTGAGTAATGGTTTATGAGTAGGACAAATTACCCATTTCTCGAGAAAAACTCATTTTGGCAGGTAAATCCCATGGAGATACTTTTTTGGGGGCTGAAACACTTCTGGACTTTTCTAGTTTACCTGATTGTAATGTTCCTTGTTTGCTGCTGCAGAGCCAAAGTCAAACATCTGGAACTTGCCTGATCTCGCCATCTAAAATGGAGGCACCATAGCTAAAATGTCTAATCACATGGCAGTAAATTATTGGTTAAAATACTACAAGAAAACTAACTTTTTGGGGCCGTTTTCAATCCTTTTCTTTAAAGCAAGAAGTTGTAATGTACTACCACATAGGCTGCCCCTATGCACATAAGATTTTTCCATATCCATATTCATATAGTATATGTTAACTAATCACAATAATAATGTTATCTTTTTACCTGATTCCATCTCAAGACAAAAAACCAAAGCTGTTATGAATACCAAGTCTAATACAATACCTACTTGGGCATAATGCACCATGTTCTTCACAGAGGTTCCTGCTGGCACGTGAGAAAAGTAGACTGGAGTTCTGGACTATAAAATGACATGAAATATGAAATAATTTTAATCATCCTATGCTTAAGTCATTTGTACCTGTGTTTTAAAATCAGCACTGAAGCCCTGATTGCATTTAAAAAGTGGATAGTGTACACTGTATATATCCAAATGTACTAAATTATTACCTCATTGGTAAAGTTGTCTACAATAACAAGGGGGTTGCACTCCTGGCCAATTTTAATGTGCATTGAAATCAGGGCACAATTAAGCTCAGCATCAGTGCTTTATTTTGAAAAGCCAAGGTTTGTAGTTACTCAGTTCACATATTATTCTAAGTGTACTTGTGTGAAAAAGACAAAATGTGAGGGCTATCAATGAACTCAAGGTACTTTGTCTTGGAAGTTCAACTCCCTTGAATAAAGCCTCTTCTTACTACACACAATTGCATGCATTTATACAGTCTTCAAAACACTAATAAAGTAAATTCCGAATACAATGTTTAACGGTCTAAAAATGTATAATGCATTTCACTTGTTCTTTCAGCTCAGATTATAAATGTATCTTAATAAATTGGCAATTTCTCTGGGACTTTCATCATGATTGCATTTTTTACTGAAATTTTGGAATATTTTTTCATGAAACTCACCACATTGAATTGTTTTGAATCAAATCCACAAAGCAGAAATAATATATTGGAACAGAGAATATTGATATCTTTATGACCACAAACTTCTTTGGAAATCCAGTCCATCAGCTTACTATTGGGTGCAAAATCCTTCCTTCCAAAAAGGTCAAAAATGTCCTGTTCAAAAGAAAATAAGAAATATTTTATTTATTGAAAAACCCAGGTGGACTTTTCCTAGTGTCATTTACAATTTTCTTATACCATTAAAATAGTGGGTTTTTTTAACTTTTCAATAAAAGGGAAAATGTATGATTAAATACCATCCTAATTTTCCACTGCAAGAAAATTTTATGCGGTTGTAATTCTTTTATCAAGGTTTTTAACCCTCAGTTTCAATTTCTTTCATTGAAATATTCCTATGATATCTTTTTGTGGACAATGGGCTTAACCCTAAACTACCCTCTACCAGGGTGGCAGATTATATCCGGAAAAACGGAAAAACACACAGAGCCAAATGACTATTTATCTAGAGACATATCTGTGAATATCTGTGAAAAATCAGTATGTCAGCCTGGTAGAGGGTAACCATAAACAAGGTTTTAAACTTTACACAGAATAATACTACCCTGATTTAAAAAATCATTCAAAACAGATGTGATGATACGGTTGAAGTTAGATTTTAACATTTTGTTGTGTCAATTCTGTGACTGATTGTTTAAGACTGGGTTCCCATACCTAGATGGATCTAACAGCTAGCATCGATCCATCTCCAAGGGATTTCTCGTTAAATTGCTTTCAGCTTAAACAGCTGAGATGTCTGACATGCATACTGAAGCTGCTAAACGATAATTAATTTTGTCCCCTAGCAGCTTCAGTAGGGGTGACAGACATCTAAGCCGCTAAAGCTGATTGCAATTTAGCGAGAATCCCCACAGAGATAGAATAATCCGCAGTTAGTACAAAAGGTTCTGGGAATGGTCCTTAAGAGATCTGATAAAGGATGAGGAAGAGAAATAACAGATGAAGAGAGAGTAAGAGGTAAAAACAGAAATAAAAAAAGAAGTTAACAGGAACAAGAATTTAAGATTAAAAAAAGCAAGAAAAGGATAAAAAGGCTTGGGTTAGATTTTAAATAACGATGGTCTGCTTTTTTACAAACCTTATCCGAGAAGTCAGATAACAGAAGTAAGGGTCCTTTTGCATGTGCAATGGTGGCCACAGGGCCCATAGCAATGAATGACTTAAACTGAAACATAAATAACAACAGTTATCACCTTATATTAGTCTAAGTAATAATAATCGGTCAAGATTATGGACCATACATAAAAAGTTGGCCACAATGGAATACTGTATATTCACCAACAGCATACTTTTTATCAAATTTAGTCAGTCCTAACTCGTGGTACATAATAATCAAAGCTGAAGCTGAAGCTTAAAATGTCAATGAATCATAAATATTTTTTAAAAATACTATTTTATCTTAAATTACCTTCTTGGCAAAGTCAGGGTTCTGTGAGGTGTGTGCAAACATAATCAGAGTTCCCTGGGAGTGACCAACATAGTGAATTTGACTGACTCCTGTAACCTTCAGTGTGTAGTCAATCATGGCTGGTAAATCATACTTGGCCATTTCATCCCAGCTAGAAAATCACAACCAGAAAATAGTGTGGCATATTTTGTAAATGGCTTATTGTCTTAGCTATTCTGAGTTTTAAAATGATGTTCAGAAAATTAAAATGATAGCCAATTATTTTTTTATCATACCCATCACATATAGCATACGCCACTGTTGGATACTTGGCATTAATCAATCCATCTTCCATATGAGAGAGAGAGAGAGAGAAAGTGAGAGAGAGCAGTTTAAAGTGTACAAACATTCAATAAATCAACTCTCTGATTGGAAAATATATTTCATGGAATATCTACATGCTTGATAACATAATATAAATACCTCCAGTCCCAGAACTCCTCAGATTTGGGATCATATTTTTTATGTTTGCTTGAGTATGTATTGCCTCTTACGTTACCCATCCATACATCAAAGCCTGCATCAGCCAGAATATACCCTGGTGCAATAAAAATATTTAACTAAAATAAATTTCAACCGGTTAATACAACTTCCATTAAAATTTGTGCAGGAAATAACAAGTATATCATAAATTCTCATTGAAACAAAAAATAATAATTAATTACACATTTTATATACGTTTTACTTTCAAATAAAATGTTAATAATTATTAAAAATAGTTATCAATACATTTTTAATTCTAAATAGGTATTTACCATGTTGGCAAAATTTCAATTAACTTATTAAGTTTCAAGAGCCTTTTATAAAACTGCCTAGAATTGGAATAAATGAAACATCTGAAATAAGTCACTACAGTCACCTAAGCTTTCATTTCTTAAGTTAGTCAGCCACTGTGTGGAGGATGCCACCAAGCCATGCTGTAGGAATACAGGTGGTCTTGGCCCAGCTTTCTGTCCCTTCTTTAAACCATGTGGAATTCTGTGAATGGTCAGAATAAATCCATCAGCAGTGGTCACTGTGTGGGTCTCACATGGATAGCCTTTGCTGGTGATAAGTTCTTCCTGAAATAAGTTAAAATGCGGGGGGTTTTAGCGTTAAGTCATTTTTTATTTTTTTCTATTACCTTTTTTAGAAATTGTCATAATTCCTGACACATAGCCAAATGTTGGAGCTTGAGGGCTAATTCAACTATATTCACTTATCAAACTAAAGTTTAAGTGCTGTACAGTGTTTGAGTCCAGTCACTAATAAGTGGCAGCACTAATGCTGATGTGGTTGAAGTATTTGTCACATGGCCTATCAGCAGTGCAGTTTTGGCAAGTCATCACTTGCACCAACTTTTAGGCATTAAATAACAGGATACAGACATCAATATGTATAATATCCACATATTTCTTCAGAACAACCTTCGAAACACTTAAATAGTCTACTGATAAATTTTGAAAGAGAGACAAACACATTAAAAATCAGAGATAACATTGGAGAACACAAGTGAACTTTGAACCATTCATATAAAAAACCCTTCTGTGTAAACAATGTTGACATCAACAGACAAGGAAATCGAAAATTATTAAAAATTAAAAGAAACTTTAAAACAGCAATGTTTAAAATCTGTTGTGAAATCTTATAAAAAATAATAAATACAATAATGCTATAATAATTCCTAGTGCCATATAACACTTTCTGGTTTTTAAATAACTTACAAGTATGAATTTTAATTTTTAGGTTAAATTCATTATTACATATAATTAATACAAATATTCAAACTTCAAAAATATTTTTAAAGTGCATATTTCCAATATTTGATAATAAAAATGATTACAAAATTTTCCCAGACTAGATATGCCAAATGAAACTACTTACTGCATCCATATTGACTTCTGGGTCAACATGCACTGCTACTTGATTTTGTTTCCAAATTTCTTCTAACTCACGAAAAACGAAACCTCCACTGGCACAAATCACTAGTCCCATGTGGAACACAAACAGAAAGGAAAGTGTTTGCCCCTGCATCTTCATCTAAAAGCTACAAAAATTATTGAAATCCAATCAGTTGTAATATCTACTTGGCTTTAATAAAGTGAATAAATGCTATTATTTAAATACTTTTTAAGACTTTGGACAGTCAACATAAAAAAGGCACCATATCGCAAGCGGCATAAAAATATCAATGATAAATATACAAAAAAAAAGTTGGAAAGGAAACTAAAAGTTCGATAAGCTGTCATGCACCTACCTTGTGTACTCTTTAACTGACGGGACAGGGAAGCAGATAGGAACATGGGGATATCATGAAGTCTTATGACACACTGGCAAACAAGGTTACAGAAGGCTAATTTCCAGTCAAAATGGGTTAACCTAACTTAGTGTATGCTTTCTCAGCACCAAGGGATTTAAATTTCTGACTATAGGAAGCCAATATAATCATAAACAAATACAATGGCCATGAGTGCGACATAAGAGACGCTAGATTGTACCCCTATGGTTATAAGTTGTTATCATACTGTCTACTTTGATTGCAAAACAAAGACAGGATGACCCAGCCTGACTGGAAATACACCCTAAGTCAGGCTATCAGGTTTCAACATCCAATTGGTTCAAGCGCTGCTAGCTATTTATTATTACCGCTTTTCACTTAATTAATAACAGATTTCGATAATATGAATATAGATAATTTGAATTTATCTTTACTAACCATGTGCGGATGTGTTGTTATCAGATATGAAAATGTTCAAGCTGTTTATATATTAAACAGAACAAACCACATGGTTTTGAACGATGTTAATATTGAATTCGTTGATGCCCTGCATTGACGCAAAAGCATTATTAATACAGTGATACATATATTGGCTTCCACTTGCAGTAATATACACAGCAGACTTAATTTACTGATAAAAACAACAAATCAAGAAAGCTTATCTGTGCTTCATTGACCTTGAAAAGTAGACTGGCATTTACAGATCGGCAGACAAATCTTCAATATATGACACAAACAACATATCTATCTTAAGATGGAGATGGGGTAGTACTGTATAAAATATGTGACTCGATAGGTGCTTGGCACCGGCGTGGTCAAACTACGCTCCTTTAATTTCTTAATTATCATCGCTGATTGCAGAGATCACCCTGAATTTCCCAGGAAATTCAGTTTTGCTTTATCAGCATGCATACGCTGTTTTCAGATATAATACTGGCTGAAAAGGCAGTCTAAATCAAGCTATAAGAGGTGTCAACTTGAACAGTAATTTAAAACTGGACAGGCCTGGTGATAGTGGAGAGGAGAATTATTTTTTCACACTCCTCTTAAACTCAGAGTGCCAAGTTGCTCTTTTAAATCTGAGGGCCCTTTACCAATCCAGCTGTGAAAGGACCCTCGCCGAATGCACCAGTTTAAACTTCCTGCCGTTGAGAGGAATACAGAAAACCTAGTGTTATATATTTTACACAAGACATTTCGTTTCACTATTTACTGTAGATAACAACAAAAACTATATAGACTATATACGGAACCTGTTGAACAGTTTGATCCAGCCTTTTTTCCCCTTACGTTTTTTGACACGTGGTCTAGGCCTACTTAAACATTTTGTCGCCAATTACTGCATAACTTCCCAAAGCTTCATAAGGGAGTCCAATTCACATATTCCACCCGCCCCTCCTTCCCCTGACTTGACCTGAGCGCACTTTTATGTAAGTTTTACCTGTATGACACAGTTGAGTGGCCGTATTAAAATCTCAGCCTGGAAGTAACATTCTTCATGCTGAATGTCTAATTTCCTCTTACTTGCCAAACTACTGACATGTGCTTCCTTTGGCTCTTACAACCAGTTTACTGCCAGCAAAGCAGCCCCGCCGATTCTGGTTGAAGCTAGGTTTGAGCAAGGAGTTATAACTCCTTGGTTTGCGTCGGAACTCACTTTAACCCGTCTTGCTTCCTCGACTTAAAATATATTTAATATTTTCCTACATACCAAACGCTAAGAACGAAACAATTTTGGCGGCTATTTTCGATAGCATTATGTTAAATTTGTCTTGCATACATACCAACATAAATCACAACAGGGCAAACGAATCTTAATGTATTTTTCTACCATGGCCCATAGGAGCCTACGCGTGCGTCTTTTAGACGCCCCTTTACATGCGAAAACGACAAGGCCTATGCCGAGTTCGTCTTTTACTACAGAGCTTTGAGAGCCGAAAATGGNCGGGGCAGGGAAGCAGATAGGAACATGGGGATATCATGAAGTCTTATGACACACTGGCAAACAAGGTTACAGAAGGCTAATTTCCAGTCAAAATGGGTTAACCTAACTTAGTGTATGCTTTCTCAGCACCAAGGGATTTAAATTTCTGACTATAGGAAGCCAATATAATCATAAACAAATACAATGGCCATGAGTGGGACATAAGAGACGCTAGATTGTACCCCTATGGTTATAAGTTGTTATCATACTGTCTACTTTGATTGCGAAACAAAGACAGGATGACCCAGCCTGACTGGAAATACACCCTAAGTCAGGCTATCAGGTTTCAACATCCAGTTGGTTCAAGCGCTGCTAGCTATTTATTATTACCGCTTTTCACTTAATTAATAACAGATTTCGATAATATGAATATAGATAATTTGACTTTATCTTTACTAACCATGTGCGGATGTGTTGTTATCAGATATGAAAATATTCAAGCTGTTTATATATATTAAACAGAACAAACCACATGAATTCGTTGATGCCCTGCATTGACGCAAAAGCATTAATACAGTGATACACATATTGGCTTCCACTTGCAGTAATATACACAGCAGACTTAATTTACTGATAAAAACAACAAATCAAAAAAGCTTATCTGTGCTTCATTGACCTTGAAAAGTAGACTGGCATTTACAGATCGGCAGACAAATCTTCAATATATGACACCAGGCCCGTAGCCAGCAATTTCAAAAGTGGGGTTCTTTTTCTGAAAAAGTGGACCTTTTTCCATAAAAACTTCATGTACCTAGAGCAAATTTTACCCAGAGTGGACCTTTTCCCAGCAAACATCCCAGCAACATATATCTATCTTTTAGATGGAGATGGGTTAGTACTGTATTAAAATGTGTGACTCAATCGGTGCTTGGCACCGGCGTAGTCAAACTACTCTCCTTTCATTTCGCGTCTCGATAGTCCGAAGGTTCATTGGTCCGAAAAACGGTAACATTTTCATCGTTTTTTTAATCAAGGGTTCATTGGTCCGAAGGTTCTGTAGTGGACCAATGAACCTTCGGACTATTGAACCTTCGGACTATTGTTTCTTATCATCTCAGATTGCATAGATCACCCCGAATTTCCTAGGAAATTCAGTTTTGCTTTACCAGCATGCATACGCCGTTTTCAGATATAATACTGGCTGAAAAGGTAGTCTAAATAAAGCTATAAGAGGTGTCAACAGTAATTTAAAACTGTGCAGGCCAGAGTGCCAAGTTGCTCTTTTTATTCCTCTTCAAAATAAGTATAACATTAGGTGAAAAGGTACATTTTTTGCTATGGCGATAGGGAGTCACCCAGACGACCCGTGATGAGTACGTCGTTTTAAATCTGAGGGCCTCTTAGTACCAATCCAGCTGTACAAGGACCCTCGCTGAATGCAATCAGTTTAACTCACTTCCTACCGTTGAGAGGAATACAGAAAACCTGGTGCTTTATGTTATGCACAAGACATTTCGTTTCACTGTGTTTACCTTTACTGCGGATAACAGACTATATACGGAACCTGTTGATCAGTTAGATCCAGCCTTTTTGCCACTAAGGTTTTTTCACGCATGGTCTAGGCCTACTTAAACGACGTCTTAAACATTTTGTCGCCAATTACTGCATATCTTCCCAAAGCTTCATAAGGGAGTCCAATTCACATATTCCACCCGCCCCTCCTTCCCTGACTTGACCTGAGCGTACTTTTATGTAAGTTTTACCTGTATGACACAGTTGAGTGGCCGTATTAAAATCTCAGCCAGGAAGTAACATTCTTCATGCTGAATGTCTAATTTCCTCTTACTTGCCAAACTACTGACATGTGCTTCCTTTGGCTCTTACAACCAGTTTACTGCCAGCAAACCAGCCCCGCCGATTCCGGTTGAAGCTAGGAGCGCATTCTCAACGAATTAAGCCAGGCTTTACAAAGCCGATGACCTAAAAATGGCGGACGTACATGAAAGAAAAACCGCCTAATCTTTTAATAGTCTCTCCGCCTCTATATATATATATATATATATATGTTGGGTTACGTTGTCTAGATAACTCTGCGATGAAATCTCTGGTAAAAGAATGGCCGTTGGCTAAAACCCATCAAACGAAGTCAGATAAAAGTAAGATGGATAGAACTTGATATACAATGGACTTAGAGGCGCTGGTGTATCGTGGACTGAACACAGACAGTGCGGGGATGTGATTTTTGATTAACAAAATTGGTTTTACTCAATACAGAAAAGAAAAACAGAAAATTAAAAAGGCTTTTTAAGAACATCAATAATTTTATTTACTGTTCTGATGGGACTAAGTAGTACTAAATGTTATTCAAAAAGAAAGAACACTGTCCCTTTTGACTTCTGAAGGCATGAATAATCTTTTTTCAGCATCAGCTTGCATAATGCGTAAATAAACATTGTTATGATAAAAGGTAATGCTGTATCATCAAAATTCACCATGGTAAACTTTTCAATTCAAGCTGATGGGGTAACAGTAGCGCTTTAAGGTTGAAACGGCAATAACAATTTTAAACAAATCTCCACCAAAACAGCTATCAACACTTATCATAACAATACGTACTACGAATAGCTACCAGGAAATTTTCTTGAAAGGCTGATTTTTTAGTTATTCAGTTAAGAGGGTAAATAATGCCTTTTTAATGAGACATCGTTAAAGGGTTAAACAACAACAATAAAGAAATTAATTAATTAATAGATAAATAAATAAAATTAAAAAATGTTCAGTCAAATGATGGCACAGGATTGTAATTCAAACCCCAGTCGTCAACCTTACACATTTTTATGATTATAAACACGCGAATTACAGAGTTACCGGAACCCGATCACTATAATATACCAATATACTTTGTGGCAAAATTAACGATTAACGCTAGACCACCCTGTGTTTAGAAGCGCGTGCAACGGTGAATTTTTGCTCCAATAGTTTTTTTTTTTCTTTGCACTAACATAAAGCATTTTACAGAAAAGAAAAAAATTACCAGATGTAGGCCTTTATCACATATCGAGCTCCCTTAAAATGACCCAAGAGATCAGACGTGTTCGATACCATTTACAGCGCACTACACTAACGATAAAGTAAAAATTCATTGTGGCCCTTCGCAGTGAAAAGGATTGTATTGTGCTATGAGAGCACAACACGCGATGACAAATTGACATGTCGTAACTGCTGCGGTTAGATGAAAGGTGTCATTAGAACCAATTTGTCTTTACAGTGACAGTAATGCAAAATATTGTCCTTCATGAGATCAAGTGCAAAAATAATATTATATGCACGAACGGTTGAAAAAGAGCTGGGACTATGACATCTAGAAATGGTCACAATAGAACACGCACTGGTTACTTCAGTGTTTCAAATGCACAGAAAAAGTGAATAGATTTGGGTATCAAATGTGGTATTTCACGATTCTCTCTTCAAATTAAATTAAAAATAGAATGATATGAATATGATGCCGTCTTAGAAGATACATATTCCTTGAATTGTTGTCATTGGGCGCTTTGAAGCCTAGATTACATTTGCAACTGGCGCCCTACGATGAAATCGTAAACGATTAATTGTACGTTTTTTTTTTTTTTTTTTTTTTTTTTTTGACGACGTAAGTAGCTACGGGCTACGGCGAGTACGTTTACATTACGTGAGGGTGCCGTGACATTTCTCCAAAATGACCTTGAGACCACGTAGGAAAAGATCGGTTGCCTGTTAAAAAGTGATCGAATAGAGCCCTTTTAGTATAAGTGCAGTTGTCGTACGCCTTCCGTGCGGCTTCCCAAAGGTAGAAGATTGAGACGCTATCGGTGCAGCCCCCCCCCCCCCAACGGACAATTCTAAATCATGCAAGCTAATTACTCCAAGTCTTAAACATCACAGCCATTGTTATGCCTCCTAAAACGACCAAAGGTGGAAGAGAAAAAGACCAACAACACCTGTCCAATCGTTGTCACGATTACCGCAAGTTCACCCATACTGCGCGAGTTCATCTACGATAATGACGGTACGGCCTACGGGCTAACTGCTAATTTGTCAAAAGTTTAATTTGTCAAAAGTTTCGTAAAATCGTAGAGGCTACGGAGGACGTGAATCCAAACGAAGCCTAAAGATTTACGGACAGTACACGAGCACTGTGTACTGATACACAGGGCAAACGTAATCTAATCTTTACTGCCGAACAAGCGCGATAAACTGTGTTTGCTATTATTTTTTACAAATGGAAAATTTGATAACAATCATTTTCTGATATACTGAAAATGAACAATATTAAAACCACACTGTGATTAAAANAAGCGGGTGCTCCATGCACAGCAGGGGAGCCGGAGGCGACGGAGGTGGTGCGGAGGAGCAACAGAAGCACAGCTGGACGGCACAATAATATACATCACCTACCGCGTTCCGCCATCCAGCAGGGTGCGATTGCCAGCCCAGGCATCGATCCGTCAGTTTTAGCAAATTTGGCCAAGACCCAGCTTCTTCTTGCTCGGATGTTAGCTGGTGAGCATCCGCAACTTTAATTGTACATAGATGGTTGTCACTGACATTGCGAGGCGGCAATGTGTTAGCAGGGGAGTGTAAGAGTTAAGTGGCACACTAACCTCGCACTATCCCGTTTTTTTATTTTTTTCCCCTTTTCTCTGTATTGCGTAGTAAATGTACATGTATCATTTAGATTTTTCATATTTAAGTAGATCGTTAGCGTTTTGTTTTAAGTAGAGGTCAGCTGATGGGCTCGTTACTTGACCCGTGAGCGGCAAGGGTGGCCTGATCCCCCTTGATGAGCCGTTTGATTAGTTTATTGGTCAGCGTATTTTCCTTGTGTGCGACCACGCTGTCGACCTCTCCCTCTTTTGCCGCAGAACGACGAAGGCGCAACACGTCTTTTGTGTACGTTGTCTTTTGCGACGCAGATTTCAGTAGATACCAAGTAAGTCATATACAAGATGTAGTTTCCCGACAGTAATAATTATAGAATTGCTATGTATAAGAATGTTGCTTTTACTTACGTTATTTTTAGTGAAATGGATATGTTACGCAATGATTCCGCTCCGTTTTAGTGAAAGGCGCAAGTGTAAAATGTACATTGTCATTTATAAATTACGTTTAGTTACTTATATATTGTTTAGAATAAGTTAAAAGAGACTTATGTGGCATAGCATAGTTAGCGACTTGGCCGATTTTATGAGAAATGCGCTTCACGTCAGTTGCGACGTAGATCGTAACTTTGAGTTTTTTTTTACTTTTGTTAGTAAAGTAATAGTATGTGCTTTGTATTTTACAATGTTTTAATGGGAAGGATTTTTAAGCGTTTTATTAATATTTCAATTGATAACTTTGCTTTAGCAAGAACAAAGGCGCTCAGGCTATTATGTAATTGTAATGGGTCACTAGTAGACGCGAGTGCGGTTGTGGCTAGGTTTGCATTGCCGTGTCGCGTGCGGAGTGCTCGCCGTATCTTAGTGCACTGATTTATCATACTAGCTGTAGTCTTCATTTTATTTTATAGTTTAAATTTCATTTAACGTAAGTGTGAGATTTACGACTAGCCTCTATATGTCACGTATGTGTTAGAATACTTTGTAAGTGGTGCTAAGACTTGCTTATGTTGCATTCAGGACTTATAAAGCCAATGCCTAGTTGAGCTGAAGAAGTGACAGTGTATAGCCTCCGCTGGGGGTGAGTCAATGCGGTAGTTGAGATCGTACATTAAATTGAGAGGATCGTTGAATGCGACCTATGATGTTATTTATGTCACTCATTTTGTATGTATGGATATCAAGAGACAAATAGTGTTCGTCACATTACATCTCAATTACGTAATATTCTTACATTACTGTGCAAATGTGTTATATCATTTTTAATGACGTATATTGGAAAGATATTAGTAGATTTTGTCGACAATTAGCTGTGCATACGTTGGAAATATATTATTATTATTTGTTATTTTAGGTCTTGTCTTATCTAAGTATGAGAATAAACCGCAGAAACCTAAAGTCGACTTAGTCTTTGTCATTCCACCCCGAGACCCACTCTCGGCTCTTTCACATGGTACCAGAAGTGGGGTGGAATGCAGGCTTCCCTGAGACAGAGAGACAACCCGACCCCCAGTGGAAATCTGAATGACCGTTGATGATGTCCTGGTGACCCCGCCGACGATGACGAATGGTGCCTGCCGTAGGAAGACGTACCGGTTCAATGAAGATTTAGCTTATTGACTTTATTTCTATTGTTATTACGTTGTTATAGTATTGCTATATCTGTTGATATTATATTGTATTAATTGCTGTTTATGCATTGATTGCGTATACTGTGTAAGGTATGGAGCCCCGAAAAGTAGATGAGAAGGATTCAGACCTGTCACTGCTGGCCAAGGAGTTGGATGTACTCCGAGGGAAGGTTCGGGAGCAGGAAGCGGAGCTGGCGCGGAGGAACGCAGAGCCCTCTACATCCTCGAAAGTAGTTGTGTTGCCAGCGAGAAAGATTGAAAAATTCAAAGATGTACCACAGACGGCGACTGACATCGGCATTAGGGAGTGGGTGGCCGAAGTCCGGGCACACGCCGCTAGTAACAATTTGAAGGGGGAACGGTATGCTGCCTTCGTTATCGATCATCTAGGAGGAAAAGCCAAGAGGGAGATTCTTGGCAGGGGTGACGCTTTCAAGGAAGAACCGGAGGAAATATT